GAGTCGAATCAATTGAAAAAGTTTTTCTTGTTGACATTCAATTTCTGTTGAATATGCAGACAATTCAAAAGAACAACGTTCAAGCAGATAAGAAAAAGCGTCGTCAACTTTAGAAGTTTGTCGCTAGATTAAAAAAAATTTTAGAAACATTTTTAAACGCAAATCTCATACCAAAATACAACACAAAATATTTGCCAAATTAGGAAGATAACTTGAATTGAGTAAAACCGTTTGTGGTTTCTTTGCTTCACTCAACAATTTAACTAAACGAACTGGAATGTTTAATTCGTTTAAAGTTTGAATGTTGTCTTGCACATTTCGATTTGACAAAATTGTTTCAATCATTACTGAAAGAATCTTTTAATTTTCCTTCATAAAAATAACAAAAAAATAACCTCCCATAATTGCCATATAATCACCTAGCAAAACATGTTCAACAGAATCATCTTCAATAACAGCCTTTCCCATACTCCAAGAAACACTTTTATCTTCGCTAGTAGCAGATTAAAGCAATTCTTCAAGAATCTAATAAGAAAATAAAATATAAAAAACACCAAAAAACAGAAAACAAACCTCAGAAAGAATGCCCATAACATCTTTTCTCAAAGCAGGATGATGACGGATTAATTTATCAAAAGATGTTCCAAGCATATGAGCAGTCTCAACTAAAAACAAAAATTTAAAAAAATATTTTTTTCCTAAAACTCACGTATTTCAGTTTTTCGTTTACGCATTGAAAGCAAAAATTTGTTTGAAAAAATAATTCTAAATATTTTTTCCAAAGGTTTTTGATTATTATAAAGTTTGAATTCATTATGGCCACGTTCATTAAGGCACAAAGCAGAACAGACATTTGGTAATGCACAGACGAGATCTCTTGAAATGGTAGCTAAAATAAGAAAAAATTATAAGTAGTCTTAGCCAAAACATGTAAAGTTAGTGGTTGTCCCCTTTACTTTTTCATTTGTGAGGAAACAACATAAAAAAGGAAAGAGACACTAACTACCATCTTGCAGATGTTGGCTAGCGTTTTTTTAATCATCAAAGAACAGGAAAAATAAAAAACCCGACCTTTTCATCAAAAATTAAATTCATCAAAGCATCAGTTAATTTCATATTTTGAAGCATTGTTAACTGGGCAGGCTGAAAAAATTTTAAAATATAAAACTATTTTAAGAAAATCATACCTCTTGATAAATAAAATTTGTAATCAACGACACTGTGCAATGCAAAAGAGAAGACCCAAAATATTGTGAATGTTGAATGATGAAAATTAGAGATTGTGGAAATTCTGTCTCCATTATTCGTCGCATTTGGACTGCAAGGTTTGCGTCAATCACGTTTTATAAAATTTAACAAAGATTTCATTAGAGCAGCGCGTTGTTGACTGCAAAGAAGTGTCGTATTTGAAGTTGTTTGCTCCGATATTTGAGTTTTGCATTGATCAACCTCGTGCTAGAATAATAAATTTTCAAATTTAAAAAACAAAGAAGGGTACACCCCAACTTACCGCAGAGCTATAACTTCGTTCAGAATGGTCGAATCCAGGACGCCCTGGTATGGTTCGATTCAGCTCGTCGTGGCGCATCGAACATATCAAAGCGTCCCGAATTTTTCTGAACAAAGTTATCGCTCTGCGGTAAGTTGGCTTGCTCCCAAAAACAAAACAAACCGAAAATCTCTTTATAATCGCATCAGTTCCACCATTGGAATTAAATTGGGCAACGTCTATTCCCGTTAAAATGTCAATTATACGAACAGACCGAGTGACATATCTAACATATTGTTCAGGAAGTGAATAGGTTTTGACAACGCCTAAAAGAACGGGCACCAAAGAAGAACGATTGAGAGCATCACCACCTTACAAAACAAATAAAAATTAATTTTAGAAAGTAAAAAAAACCATATTCAAATCCACAAATAATTAACAGCCATTTTTCGTTCTTCCAAAAAAAATATTCACTTCTTAGCCGGGGAAGTCTTCGGACTCATCTTCGCTGGAGAAACCTTCTGACCCGCCTTTCCTGGAGAACTGTTGGGACTAGGAGTCTTGCTTCGTTCCTTCTTCTTCTCCAGTTCACGTTCTTTCTCGCGACGCATAAGCGTGTCCACATTGGTCTGGAGTTGAATGATTGCGTCTCGATTCCAACCGACATCAATCCCCATCTAAAAAAGTTTTATAAAATTCGTTTACTTATAATCAAGTGTATTGTACGGCGTACGTACAATAAAAAGGTACAAAAAAGTTTACACCTATAACCCAAGCCCTTTTCCTTTTTTAAAAAGTACCCAATGAAAATAACAATTTATATGCCCAAATTTTTCCCCCTCTAAAAATCCCCCATATAGCCTTTTTCAATTACATAAAATAAACTCACTTGACGAACACGTTCAACCAACTCCGCTTGATTAGTCTGAAAAAAGATTAAATTAAAATAGAAAATAGTAAAAGTACATTGGTATCAACGGTTCCGACGAGAGCATAGGAACGCGCTAAATGATCCTCAGCAAAAATAGTTATCAACTCTGCTAAACCCAGAACAACAGAACGATTTTTGTTGAGAAGACGAAGGCAATGCGTGACAATATCTTTGCAAATAAACTCTACTCTCTCCTATAAAAATTAAAATTATAACTGCACTCAATTTCTAAAAAAAACCTGAAGATCATCCCTGTTCAGAGGCTTTAGCGCGCTCAAAGGAGTATCTTGTTCCATAAGTGTACTCTCCCGTTTTTGAGTATCATCATAAGCTTTTGGGGCAGAAAGTTTTGGAGCCAGAGCTGCTTCTATTGTTGCATTTGCTGCGATTTCTTCTGCTAATGCTGCTGATGCTGCGACAACTGGTGGAACTAATAAAATATTTTAAGCATTTCAACTATAACTGTAGATGACTAACCTAGACCTGTAGGATTCCTTTCTAGCATGCTAACCAAATGTTCAGCTGCTTCTGGCACTGATGATGTCACCAAAAGAGCGTCAACAGCATCGCTTTGCGAGAAGCCCATTTCTACAAGTTGTTGAATCTGAGGGGGTTATTATTTTATTTATTAATTTAGAAATAAACAAAACCTTAGCCGGGTCAATTTCGCCAACAGGGATTTCAGCTGGCGCTTCAGATTTGCCTTCAGTTAATTCCAATAATTTCATCATATCTTTAAGCAATCCTTTCATAAATTCCAATAACTTTTCCAATAATTTGAAAGCTGCTTGTTCGTTACCACCCTTGTCCTTGTCACTACTAGTAGAAGTTGATGGCATTGATGGGTCATCAGAGAATGTCTCGCAATGCTTCATTAGCTCTTTTAACATTGAACAAATAGCAGAAAAGGTGTCCTAAAGAAGCAGTCACTTCTATTAATTAGCATCTATTAACCTTCTGTGCAATTGCCAAAAAATTTTTCAACTCAAAACCATCAACAGTTATCCGTTGCTGCGGCGGTAGTTGTTGAACACCATTTCGCTGAGTTGCCAAATTTGGTGACGAGAATTTTTGGGCAATGTTGAGCCATGCATGAATAATTGTGGTAAATTCCTCTGAAAAATAAATATCAAAAAATTTTTTTTAAATTATATAACCTTTAGTAATGTTTGATTTAAAACAATCTGTCACAAGAGCGAAGAAATTTTTGTAACAGCCAGACAAATAGAAATCTGGCAGCAATTGCTGAATATTATTAATATCATCTATAAGGAATTTTTTGAGAAAATTGAGTGGTGTAGTGAAGTATAAAGCACTGAAAAACGTTTTTTAAAAGAATGTTAGAAAAATAAACTTCAAAACTAAGGTTGTTCCCCGTCTCCGAAAGTCGGGGAATTTGAGATTTTTTGAAAATTCCCCACCCCCACCCCTGCGTGAATAAAGAAAAAATTTTCGCCGTGCCCGTCCCGCCACCCTCTGTGGCTCTGCCTCCCCGAAAATTGTTTCCCGTGGCCCTCCCTTCCCCGTCAGGGAACAACCCTACTCAAAACTTTTTACCTAATGCTACTATCAATTCCGTTTGTCTGTAGTAATCGTTGAACACCTCCAAGAATTAATGTGCTCACATTTCGAAAATCTTTCTTTATTGTCTCATGACTTAATTGCAAACTGATCGCTAAACGTTGTCTCACCTTCAATACACTTGCATTGCAGAAAATTTTTCCAATACAAGTTATAAGCTCGCTAATTTGACGATGACAGCGGTAAACAACATGGTTTAGAGGACGTTCAGTTGTTGTCGAAAGTGAAGCTGGTGTAGTTTCTGATGTTGTTCCAACAGTCACAATTTTCTAACTCAAACCCTGAAAATAAAAAAAAATTAGCAGGAAAGGAAAATAAGAAAATATGTTCAACAGAGAATTTAATGACATAAAACTTTTTTTTGGTACAGCCCGATTAGGCGCGACCGATTATGCGCGCGGCCAATTTGGTGCAGCAAATGATGAGATTAATAGAAAATTTAAAGAATTATCCCTAAAATTTTAAGTCTCCCTTTATTGAATTGTGTAGTCAAGTGGTTAAGGTGTTAGGCTTTACCAATCTCCTTTTTGATTTAGGATTGGGTTCGATCCCTAGTCTGTGGAGAAGGACTTTCCATGTTTTTCTTTCAATAAATAAATTATTATACACTTTTAATTTTATTTTTAAAAATGTTTATAGGTATATTTTAAGCATTTTAAAGACAATTTAAGTTTTTTTCCCAAGTCAAAATTTTTAATTTTATTTTTTTTTCTCTTAATTAATATTGATTATTTAAATTGAAATTTCAGATTTTTAAATTAAATTATTTTAAATAAATTTATTTTTTAAATGACAACTTCAAAAACATTTTCAACTGAACAATGTTCTTTGACAGATATATTTTCACTTGCTGCTGCAGAAAATTGTCAAACAAATTTGGAAAGTGGAAAGTTGATTGAGACTGCAAATTTGAGTAAACGAAAATTTCGAGAATTGGGTATGTTTATTTGATTTTTTTGAAATTTTTAAAATTATTTTTTTAGCAATCAAATTAAAACCTTTGAAAGGTTGTGTTGGCTCTGCAAATGTGAAAATGGGGAATACAATAGTTAGCTGTGCTGTGTTAGTTTTAAAATTTTTATTCTATTTTTTACTAATTTAAATTTACGTCGGGGAACTGGGTCGGTTTTCACGATTCGAAAAATTTTTTGAGAACCCTAGACCAGGCTTTTTCTCCAACTTGAGATAGTTGGAGAAAAATCCTTGAAAGTAAATTTTCCGCATTTGTCAATAATTTTTCGTTACCTCAATTGATTTTACAAATCCGCAGCATATTTCTGGATAGCTGCAAAAGAATTCTGTAGTCGGGGCAGACCTGTTTGATAATTTTTGGATCGTTTAGGAATTAATTTTAGGTTTTCTCTCGATAAATTTTTTCGAAGTTTTTAAAAAATTTCTCTTGGAAATTTAATTAATCTTATTTTTTCCATGTTTTTATTTATTTTTTATAGAACAGGACCTAAAGAACAACAATCTGGAGAAACTGCTTTGGAAGGCCTTTTAAATGTATAAATTTCAGATTAATTAACAGGTCACTTAATTTTTTAATTTTTAAAGATTTCTCTTCACGGAATTGATCCAGCACTTCGTTATAGTATTGAACACGCTCTCCAAGCCGTTGTTTGTCTTAAAAAATTGGCTAGGGTTTGCTTTTTTATTTTTTTTTAATTTTTTAAAATTGTCCATTTTAGACGGAAATTGATGTGGAATTAAATGTTTTGTCAGACGATGGAGGGGTTTTGGCTGCTTGTTTATTAGCCTCTGGATTAGCTATTGCATCTGCTAATATTGAAATGTTTGTTTAATTTTAATTATTAAATATTTAATGAAAGGAAAGGGTTCTTTCAATGTTTAAATTTTTAAAAATTAATTTAAATTATTCGTCGGGTAATAAAAAATTGCGGTTTTCATAAGGTTATTGTCGAAGAAGTACTTAAAATCAGTAGTCTTCAAGATGCCTTTTAAGCGAAATGAAAAATGAATTTATGATAATGTTATGTAAAATTATTTTTTAATTTAATTTTCATAATTCAATTTTATACTTTTTCAGTCATTTCACCTTTTTTTTAATTTCTTTCTCACTTTAAATTATTCCAAATCCAATTCCTTTTACTTTTCTCAATTCCCCTTTATTTAAGGTTTGATATTCTTCTGCCTTGTAATATTTTAATACCAACACAACCCCCATCTCCCCCAGGCTTCCCTCCAGCCTTCATTCTTGATCCAGACTCAACTACAATTGCAAAGTATTCTTCTAGGGCAGCACTTTTAACTTTGGCAATAATTCCGTCTATTGGACAAGTATTTTAAAAAAAATTTTTTTTTTGAAATTTTTTAAGCTTAAAAATTTTTAAAGAAAAATTTTGGAATTTTTTGAAATTTTAAAGATTTTTTGAAAATTATAAAAAAAAATTTCTTTTCTCATTTTAGATTGTTTTGACCGAATTTAGTGGTTGTCCTCTACCTTTATCTATTTGCCAGCAAATAATTCCAGTAGCTTTTGATTGTTGTATGCAACTTTATTCGAATGTTCGTCAAACTTTGGTGGATAGTTTAGAAGAGGTGGACGATAATTTAATTGTTGAAAATTTAATGATTGAATAATTGAAAATGTTTTTTTGTGTTTGTTTAATTTTTTAAATATTTTTTGTTTTGTTTGGTTATTTTTATTTAAATTTAAAATTTTCAAAAAGTTTTAATTTTTTGCTTAATCATTTCCATCCCGCTGAGCAAAAGTTTAGTTGTTTAAAGCATTCCAATTTGTCCCACTGAACAACTACTCTGATTTGGCCCCATCCCTATTAATTTTATTACAACAGAATAAAATTACATTATTCGTCGTTTAATTGAGTAAAAATTAAAAATTTTTAAAAATCCCACCCATACTCTAACAAATAAGGCTTAATTTTTTTTGGTTTTTTGTACATATAATTTAGAGCCCTACTTATTATGTATTTTTCTCTTTTCGACAATTTTTAGAGAAAAAGTTTAAAATCAAAGATTGTAGATTCGTTCATTTTATTTTTCTACTCATTGTCAGTATTGATGAAAATGTTGGCAGAAATTTTTGTAGAATTTAATTTTATTATTTGGCTCTTTTTTACCACCCCAAAAAATTTTTTGTAAAAATTTTGTAGAAAAATTATACTGAATTTATAAAAAAGAACGAGAAAAACTAAATAAAGGCATAATTTCGGAATAATAAACAGACTCTGATTGGGACAAATTATGTCAATCAATCTACCAATCGAAGTTCAATTTGATGTCTTAAAATGTCTTAATTTCAATCAATTATTTTTTAAACAAATCAACTCTTATTCGACAATTTAATTAATAAACATGAAAATGGATTGGCTCGAATGGAATTTAGTCTGCTCGAAATTGTAATTTGGGGTATTTAGGTAATTTCAAAATTTGGGGTAAGCAAAAATGGTAGAAATCATTTTTGAACAATCTTTAGATGTTGTTATACTAAAATTTAAAAATTTATTTTTAATTTTAATCGGCAATTTACTTCAATAATAAGATCATAAAGCATTGGCAATCCAAAAGATCTTAAAACAACTCGAGGTAATTTATTGCTCCTTCTTTAACTAGTCCAATTCGGCGAGCCATTGTAGGTTCCTCTACATTGACTTTGTATAAATTGAAAGTGAACAGAAACGAATTGGCCAAATGATTTAAAGCGAATTTCAAAATAACATCGAATTTATTGTTGGTAAAAACTACATGGGGGTCTGTTGCGTTAAATTGAAGAGGAATTGCAACAAATTAAAATTTAATTGGCTGCTCCTAAAAATTATTTTAAAAAACCCCTAATTATAATTAAAGAACCAATAGTGCAGTCAATTCAACATCTTCTTTAACTGGTCCAATTCGGCAAGCCATTGTAGGTTCACCTACTTCAATCTGAAATTGAATACAAATCATTGTTTAAATAAAGTTATTTTCTATGTTCAATAATTATTCGGATATTGTTTAACTTTCTTATTTATTTTTAAATTAATATTATTGTAATTTTAGTTTCCAGGCCTATAGAACAACTTAATCAGAGTTTAGCTAAGTGGTTAAAGCCCATTTTCTCCCTCTAAATAAATAACCTAATAGGTAAAATAATAAAAAGATATTACATGCAAATTCTTAAGATGCTCCTCAGCCTGAAACTCAAGCGCAGTTGCAACACGAATTTTGTTGCTAGAAGTTGTTGTTCTGTTGGACATATTTTAAGTTTATATAATTTTTTTAAATAAAATTTTTTAATCTAAAAAATAAATTTATCTGTTAGAAATTAAAAAGGAGATAAAGGGAATAAGTTGAAAAAAGGAGCTAGAGGAGATATGTTTAAGGGGATTTAGAAAGGAGGAAAAAAGGTAAAAGATTTTCTAGGAAATAAACAGATAAAATGAATTTTGAAAAAATAAAATGGTAACTGTTTCGGGATAGAGTTCGGGTCGGAGGAGCAACATATGGTCGGGGTTCGGAATTTAAGGAAAAAATTTTTAAAAATAAAGTTCCAAAAGTAATGCACTCGCGTTCCATTTGTTAACTTATTTGGAAATTAAGGGGGATATGGAAAAGTTAGAGGAGATATCTTGGGATATACTTAATAGGATTTGGACTCATTCAGAGGATTTGGACTCACTCATGCATATGTACACACCGACCATTAATTAAAAAGAGCTGGGTACTTATGTATTGCCATTTAAATAATTGGAATAAAAGAAATAATAATATTGATACACATATTAATTTCTAATTTAGTGACATTGGAAAGAATTAATGGGAGAAATTAATTTTTCTTTGTTGTCTATCATTTAAATATGACACAGACAGGGATTGATGAAGGAAAAAGTCTACCATTCCGTACAATTTATTGAGAAAATCAATGTATCATGTTTAATATGTCGGAAGGAAAAATAGAGGAAGGAAGGTGAAAAAGTAAGGGGGCCAGGTTCGGAATTACCAAAAATTTTTTTCAAACTTATTAGACATCAAAATAAATTTTTGAACTTTACAAATGCAAAAATTTAAAATATAAAGAAAAAACTGATATGATAAATCCTAAAAGTAAACTGTTTAAAATATTGCTGAAATTGTAGGTAAAGTGGTCTATTATAAAAGTAAGTATAAAATCAGTCGTTATAGTCAGTCTTAGTCAACATCTAACAATTGACGCTTTTCCGTCATTATTTTCGTTTACTGCTCTGCATGTTTTAATTTTTTTATTTTTTATGATTTTAAATAAATTCAATTTGTTTCATTTTTAGATAAATTTAAAAATGTTTTATTCTCTACCAATTGAAGTTCAACTTGATGTCTTAAAATGTCTTAATTTCAATCAATTATTTTCTTTTAAACAAACCAACTTTTATTCGCTCAATTTAATTAATAAATATGAAAATGGATTGGCTCGAATGAAATTTGATGAACTCAAAATAGTAAATGCTTATTAAATTGTTAATTATTCCTTCACATTTTACTAACCGTGAATAAATTTGGACAAAAGTCAAACGGAAAAGCTCTTCTAGTCGAATGACATCGGGAATTCAATGATTTTTGATAACCGAACGAACTGCTACTACGGAAGTCAAAGGTCATGTTTTGCCATGGCCACCGGTTAAACTGGTCACCTCAGCGAGCTCTTTCGAATGACATTTGTCGAAGTTTATTCCTTGTAAGTAAAACGCGATTTAATTTTAGGATACTAACGATTTGTTCGATTCCTATGATTACAAAATTATTGCAGCTGAATCTGTAACTTCTGAATTTATTTTGAATGATCAGCTTATGGAGAAGGTATTTAATTGATTTTAAATTAATTAAATTTAATTTATTTTTTAGTGGAAAGCAGCTATAGCTAAAAAAATTCCGCTGTGTTTACATCGTATTGGATATAGTGAAGATGCGGAATTTAGCATTTATTTGAATCCAACCTATCTTTTAAAATTGCCAAACATTCCAAAAAATATTCAGGAAATGCATATTATTCGGTTTTGGTTAGAGCAACTCTTTAAGTGTGCTTTTAAAGAAGGAGGATTTAACGCAACTATATTCAATCCAGAAATGCTCAATTTATTATTTGATAACGACAAGGCAATTTCTCCTCAATTCAACATACAACAGCCTCATGTTGTTCTCAAAAACAATACTTTTGATGACTTTTTGAAATTCACTTTAAATCATCTGGCCAATTCAACATATCTTATTCTAGATATATTTTACATCAGGAATTTTGAGGAATATGCAGATATTTTATTCAATATTTTAACAAATGAAGGCAACAAATTTCCTAAAATTATTTTACAATCTTATGAATTTCCAAAGCTTTATGATCTTATTGTTGAAGTAAATTATTAAAGTTTAATAAAAAATAAATTTTTAAATTTTAGTATATAATAACTTCCAAAGACTGTTCAAAAATGGTGTCTGACATTAGTTTAGATATTCCTTTTCAAGATTTTAAATTAAACAAGAGAGCAGAAAATGTTCAAATTCGTTGGGAATCTCGCCTTATTAGATACCAAATCGCCAATATTTACAATCCAAAAGTGAGATTTTCATTCAATAAGTTGAGTGGTTCAGTTTTTATAACAAGAATGTAGAGAGATGATGTGATAAATTTTCATAGAACTTATATTATTTACAGGGATGGGACGGGTTGAGAAAAAAGTCGGGTAGAGTTTCAGATTGGGGTTTCAAAATTTTCTTCGAGTCAGGTTTCTGATTTTGGGTCGAAAGAAGTCTGGGTTTTGCGAACCTGTCCTATCCCATACAATACCCAAATTTTTGTAATTTAATTGTGTATTATTTTTTTGTTGAATTATTTTTTGCTTTATAAAATGTAGTATTTTATTAGATTTTTAACTACCTATTTTATTAATAGTTCAATTCCTAAAAATCTTGAGACTGAAAAATGTTTTTTTTCTTTTTTGCCACTTGTTGTCGAAATTGTAGGTAAAGAAGTTTAGTATAAAAGCAAGTATAAAATTAGTTATCGTCGGTCGTCTTTGTCAACAGGTCCTTAATAATAGGAGGGGTCAACCCTGAAGACCTAAATGCCTTTTTTGCTTAATTTTTGAGCACTTTGGTTACTTTGCATTTACAGGGAAAGAGTAAAGGCAAAATCGATTTCTTTTATTTTCTGAATCCGCTTATTACTCTTCCCATTCTAATTTCTCTTTTGACCTTCTACTTGATTTTAAATAAATTCAATTTTTTCTATTTTAGTTAAATTAAAAAATGTTTTATTCTCTACCAGTTGAAATTCAACTTGATGTATTAAAATGTCTTAATTTCAACCAATTATTTTCTTTTAGACAAACCAACACTTACCTGCGCAATTTAATTAATAAATATGAAAATGGATTGGCCCGAATGGAATTTAGCCTGCTTGAAATTGTAAATATTTATTAACTTGCTAGTTTACAATACACTATCAACTTTGATCAACAGCTGCTTCCCACTGAATTCACTGAATTGAATTTTTTTCACTAAATTGAATTCACTAAATTGAACACTTCCCATTGAATCATCATCAGTGGGAAGCAGCGATAGATGAATCATCATTTTGACAAGTATAGTCATTTGAAAGTAACAGGCCGGTCTAGAGATTTTTCGACAAAGTTATGACCAAACGAAACTTCACTGGGTGAGCTGCGTTATGGAGGGTATAAAACGCTCTGTTTCAATTGGTCATAACTTTGTCCATTTATGTATTTAAGTCATATTGAGGTGATTTTGGGATCCAAAGAGCTCTTCGAATTTCCACACCGAAATTTGTCAAAATCTATTACTAATGATAAAACACATTAACCTTTATTTTAGGATACTTACGACTTGATCGCCTGCCAAAAAAATGGATTCAAAATTATTGTGCCAGAATCTTCAGTTTCTGAATTTATTTTGAATGATCAACTTTTGGAGAAGGTGTTTAATTAATTTTAAATGAATTAAATTTCATTTATTCCTCAGTGGGAAGAAGCGATATTTGAATCAATTCCGTTGTATTTACACAGTATTAGCTATAATGTAGGTGCGAAATTTAGCATATACCTGAAGCCAAATTTGCTTTTAAAACTGCCAAACATTCCAAAAAATATTGAAGAAATGCTTGTTATTCGATTTTGGTTAGAACAACTATTTAAATGTGCTTTTGGAGAAGGAAGATTTATTTATAATATATTTAATCCACAAATGATTAATTTATTATTTGATAACGACAAAACAATTTCTCAGCAATTTAACATACAAGAGCCACATGTTAGCTTAACAAACAATTTATTTGATGATTCTTTGAAATTCACTTTAAATCATCTGGCCAATTCAACAAATCTTACTCTAAATTTGTATTATGTCGACTATTTAAAGGATTATACAGATATTTTATTCAATATTTTAATAAATGAAGGTAATAAATTTCCTAAAATTTCTTTTGACCGTAATGGATTGGAATGGATTTTTGATCTTATTATTGAAGTAAATTGTTTATTTACAATTAAATATAAAGTTAAAATTTTAGTATATAGCAACATCCAAGGACTGTTCAAAAATGGTGTCTGTCATTAGTTTAAAGTGCAACAATTATCCGAATTCTAAATTAAAAAAGTTAGCAAAAAATGTTGAAATTTATAATGGTTCAAGCCTTATTGATTATCAAATTACCAATATTTACAATCCAAAAGTGAAATTTGGATTTAGCTATTCTTGTAGTAAAGTAACCATAGAAAGAATGTAAAAGAAAGAGCGAGACAAATTTTGAAGTCAGTATTTGCAAGTCAAGCGCCGACTTGATCGATTTCTATTATCATTCAAAAGAGCTTATGGAGCTTGAGCTGTTAATAAGTTTAACTAGTCTGCAGGCTTAACAATAAAGACTGCTAAAATCGAATAGGTTCGTCTTTCGAATGGTATATGTACAATTCGACCAAGTCGGAACTTGTCTTGAAATCCTGTAAAAAAATTATTGAGTATTTTTTCGTTAAATTATTTTTTGAAAATACAAAATAAATACAGGAGGAATATTGAGCAAATAAAATAATCATCACAATATTTAAAGAAAGAAAAGTTAAATTAAAAATTTAAATTGGGAAAAGGCAGGGAAAAGCTTAAAATGTCTTTAAAAATATTTTTAAAAAATTAAAATTAAAAATTATCTCATTGTTGCTCCAATTTATATTTGAGGTAAACTGTAGAAAGGAATTTATCCCCAAGTGTATATAATGCTTCAATTTCCAACTTACAATTATTTGATAACATAATGGCTAACTATAAATAGAAAATAAATTTTAGGGATACAAAAACAAATAAAATCATTCTAATTAAGAAAAATTTTCAAGGGAAATTTCGGAAAAATAAGATAAACACACACAACTTGCACTTAAAGGGAGACTCAGGTTCGATGCCTGGCGGTAGTTAGTTGCTGCTTTGGGTGTATTCCCTGTCGAGTCCCTGTAAAGCACTTAAACAGGTGGTACGCCTCGAGGGAGAAGGCAATAGGATCTGGCTTTGCTTGTAAATCCAGAAGCAGCAAGGTATTGACTTACCTACTAACAGTATATAAATCCTTAACATCCCCTCCTCGTGTGTGTGTAAACAGCCTTTGTGGATGATTTAATTACACCAAAAAATTTCTCTCAGTTGGACCCGACCCTTTAAAATTAAAAAATTAAACCTCATCAAAAACAGCATTCTCTTCCAACAACAACACTCGTTTACTCAACTTTTCAATCCTTCGTTTATCAGAATTTGATAATTTAAGTAACTGATTTTCTGGCACAGACAAATTATTTGCTTCAGAAGGCAAAAAACCAATCCATTTAAGTTGGGGTAAAGTAATCCCTCCAGATTCAATCCAAGAACGATCAGAGCCATATTTGTAGGTTAAATAGATTTCAATACCTTTTAATAAATTTAATTATTTTTTAAAATTTTTATTAGAAAAAAACCATAAGGATCAGCATCAGTTAAAATAAACATGGGAATATTTGGTAATTGAGAAGCAAGCCAATTAAGAAATTGTCGAGTACAAATGTCAGGATAACCGCGGCCCTTAAATAAATTATATTAGAAAATAATTATCATACAGAAGGGGTTATGCTGACATCCCTCCGTCTACTTTGGTCAAATTAAAAAAAGCGTATCTTAAATTAAGCGTATCCTAAATAGAAGTGAGGTTCGACTGTATATGTAAACATGTTAAAAGGACTACAAAAGAACAATGCAAGGAAGAGGAGAGATCCAGCTGACTAAAATTAGAACGTTTACTAGTTGGGGATTTATTTAAACGAGAAGGTGAAAAAGAAAGTTTTCGGCAGAGCACCTTTAACCGTTCAGCGAAAATGCCTATCATTAACTGGCAAGAGGGTGCAGGTTCGATGCCTGCCCGAGGCTCTCTTATTAAAATTAAAATTCAAAAATTACAAACCGTTACAAGAATAGTTTTTGGAAACATTTCCATAAATTTTTCATCCAAAAGGCGTTGAAAAACACTATCCTTCTCCAAAATCAAAATTGCTGTAGCATCAGACTCGGCAAAATCAAAATTAACAAGTGACTCATTTAAAGCAATCATTCCAAAACGAAAATTAATTTCATTATCATCCAAAGCATTTAAAAGTCTAAGAGATCCAATTGCAAAACCTTTACTACAACTTATCTTTAAAAATTTAAATTTAAAAAATTTTTAAAACATACAACATGTAATTCACTTCTACTAGCCATTAAAAAATTACAAACAGCAGTTAAAGCTCTGTCAAAATTTGATTGTTGTTCATAAATCTTTTTTGATTCGTAGAATAAATCGCTTAATTAAAAAAATTATTTTACTGAAATAAAAGTTTTTTGAAAAGGAGAAATTCAAAAATATTTTATGTCTACTTAAACTAACAATAAGTCTACCAAAGAATAAAAAGGCAGTAGCATCTTCTTATTATTAAAACATCTTAAGCAGCTCGACGAGATACGTGAATCATGCTGTTGTCTAAATCAACCTTTCATAATTATAGGCTCACAATTGTCAGTTATTAGCTCTGCAGTAGCTGGGCTAACAATAAGGTAGAACGGAGTGGCCTTTTGACAATTTTGTATTTTAAGGTACTTTAACCCTTTCCTTTAAAAATTCTTAAATCTGGTCAAAGATCTATTCATCCAAATTCAAAATTACCGTTTAGTTGCATGTCGATTCTCAACGAGAAGTTCATATATTTGAGCCAAAACACGAAGTCTAAAAGTTAACAAACGTTTTGAAGTCGTTCCCAACAATTCAACAGAATTTCTTGAAAATTCATTATCAACAGGATTGGAGGTGTCAGAATCTCCACTGGTACTAGATTGTTGCTGTTCATTGTCTTCAAAATCCCAATCTCCATTTTCACCTTCTTCGAATGGATCGGCATCTTCTCCCGAACTTTAAAAAAAATTAATAAAAAATATTTTCAAAGAAAAAAATAACCTTTGATGTGGACGTTTTAAAACTCTTCTCATTGAATATCTTGTAGTTTCGTGAGCATCTGCAGAACAAAGATTCATTGTAAAATGGACAAAAGCACCCTCAATCATTTCTATTAATTCCTCCCTGCGTTGCTCATTTAAAGACATTATAATACTTGAAAAAGTGTTTATTAGTAAATATAAAGTAGAGAATAAAAAATAAATATAAAAATATTATTAGAATAGATACTAGTGATCGAGATTTTTGAAAAGCCTGTTCCTGGGTTAGATTTATTGACCTGGGCCGGATCTAAGGCCTGTAGTCCAGGAAAAACCCAGGCCCATGAAAAACCCAGGAAGGTCAAAAAATGTCTGGGCCTGGACAATGGGTACAGGAAAAAACCCAGGCCTTGGTCCAGACCCAGCTCGATCACTAATAGATACTAATATAATTAGAAAACACAGAAAAATAAAATTTTTAAATTTTATAAAAATAAAAATTTAAATTAAATTAAAAAAATAAAGAGAAAAATAAAAATACAAAAATTAAGATTTTGTTAAGTCCTTTGACCAAAAATTTCAGAACCTACACGAACATTAGTACTCCCATATTTAATTGCTTTAAATAAAAATTTTTAAAAATAATTTTTTAAAATAATTTTAAAACATGATTTTACCAAGTTTATAGTCAGAAGACATTCCCATACTTAATTCAAAATTTCGTTTTAGTCTGGCTTTCAATCCATCCCTCAATTTAACTAATAACTCAAAATCAGAATTAGTTTCTTGATTTTTGCTTTCGGAAATTGAACCGATTGTCATTAAGCCTGAAAATGAATTAAAATATAAAAAATTTTTTTTGAATGGTTCGCAAACTAAGGAGTCAGCAAAAAAAGAAACTGACTGTTATGAAATAGAGTAAGTCACCATTAGAGGACGTCGGAATGGCAAACAGTAGAAATAATTTCGAAAACAGTATCATGTATAAGGTTGGATTTTTCGAACCGGGCCGACATCAAATCATTTTTTAGGGCGTCATTTTTATCGAACCGGACCGTTTGAGTCTTTCTCGGGCCAATAATCGAGGCCCGGTTCGATCTTTCTAACCATATAATTTACAGTGGCGTTAATTTGATCGGCTAGCCTAACGCTTAGAGCAGCAGGTTTGAAAAAAAGGGCCCAGCGCCGAGATCGAAAAACACCAACATCCATCCCTATTTTCCTCAAAAATTACCAATAAGTGAAAGATATGAACATTTCTCCTCAACATGGTCAACTAACTCATCAAGTCCTTCAGGCTCCACACCTCCTTTATTTTTCTCACCACTTGTGTTTACTTTAAAATTAAATAAAATTAAAAATAATTATACCAAGAAAAACCTTGAATAAAAACTTTCAAAGGCTTTTTATCTTTACCCAAAATCGATTGAAGCAAATCAGCATGCTTTTTATTGTCCAATGTTTCAATACACCACAAGCCAGGAATCTCACATATTTTTTTGAGCTTAAATAAAATTTTAATAATTTTAGAAAATTTCAAAAAAAAACTTTATTAGATTGTAGCCTTCCAATAAAATGCCAATTAATATCATTAACTCCACGAGAAACCAATTCTTTAGCTTTTGATTCCAATTCATCTATATAATTTTCTCCAAAATGTCTTTGACCTTTTTCATAACACGCAATTATTGAGTCGACAGGGAATGTCTAGAAAAAAATTTTTATTTGAAAAATGAGAAAATTTTTGCTGGACAAGTAGCAAAGTTTATCGAAAACTATGAACGTCGGGAATTGGAAATGACCCACAAAAATTGGGAAAAGAAAAATTGAAAAAGACCTAGGATAGACACGAGACAAATTAGAACTAATTAAAATTCATGCCCTTTCTTTTCACACTAATGAAAAAAATCTTTTGCCTAATCAAAGGTAGTTTCGATTTTGCAACAACTCCAAAATCTGTAAAACCTAATATGACAAGACTAGTTAAAACTTTCAAATCCTTAACCTGACCTTTGAGACAGCAACCAATCGAACATCAATAGAATATATCGCAGCCAATTCATGAACGCTCTTCAAAACATTCGATAAATTTTTGGCCACAATTTCCGCTGCCATTAGAGCAAAACAATAATAAAATTAAATATTAAAAATAAAATATTTTAAAAATAATTATTTTTAATAAAAATAATTATTTTATATATATCATAATTAAAAAAAAGATAGATATCAGTCAATTTATTCCAAGTAAAATAAAAACAAATTTATCAAATCTAAAATCTAACAACATTATTAAATTCAGCAACTAATGGATCAACTGCTGCATTTCCATACAAACCGCTAAGCTGCTTTCGGGTAAAAGTAAACTTTTGTTTAGGCGGAGGGGGTGGTTTTTCTTCAGCAAAAACTCTAACAGGCGGTAAAGGACGAATTCTACGGCCTTAAAGTTAAAAAATTATTAAAAAAATTTTTTTTTATAAAAACCCGACCTTGATAGCAGTCTTTCGGTTTATGATCACTACCAGCCATTCGATGACCAAAACGTCTATACATCTGGACAGAACCATAAATTTTTGATCTGAATAACAGAAAATGTTGAGGGAAAAAAGGAGTGTTCGTATACCTGTAATCCTCATGAGACAATTTTCCAACAGTTGCCATGCAAGTCTAAAAAATAAAAATAGAATAGAAGGAGAAACAAAGAGTTTAGCCGACAGCAGTTGAAAGTTTTTGAAAAAAAATTTCCTGAGGACTTGCTAGCCCTATTAAAAAAATTTTTTTGTAAAAAATTTTTTACTTCAACTAGATAAAATAAATCCAGCCAAACCTTTTTAAGCGCATATTCATGTTGATTAGGCATTTTTACAATAGTAAAATCATCCTGTTGTCTAACAATTTCACCACATGATCCAGCTTCGGTTATACAAACGTGCGATTTTTCAGTTGGAAAGAGTTCGACTGTATTAACAAGAGTCCCTTCCGAGAGAGCACCTGAAAAGTAAATTTATAAGGAAAATCCAGCGTTTTCACACCTAGTGGATATGCATTTCCCTCAATGCCAGGCGTTGGATATTTTGGAATTTGACTTGATGTGCTTATAATCTGGCCGGCTTTCATTCCTTGAGTAGCATAAATCCAACGTTTTCCCTTGGCCCCTGCTACCAATGCCAAATGCGGTGTTCTGTTTGGATCTTGACGCACCTCGATTACCTTCACAATATAAAATATTTAATAAAAAATTAAAAGAAACCCTCTCATCATAGGTTTCCTCAGGATTTGCAGGCCCTCTTCTATGCAGATCCAACATAAAATAATCAAATCTCACTCCTGGTCCAATGTGAATATTGGACTAAAATATTTTTTTTTAATTTAATAATAAAATCAAGAAAAAAACCTTTCGTTTAGTTTCTGGATCTCGGCCTCCCATCCTTCGAATTTTAAGTGGTTTTATTGTGTATTCGTCATTTGTTATTTCTTTCAAGTGTTCAAAGTCAAAATTCAATCGTTTCTTTGGTTTTGTCCCACGAGCAGGAAAACCTCGTTGACTTGAAGCTACAATGGTCGTTGGAAGCAAAAATGGTTGAGAAGGTTGATAGGCATTAAAAAATTTAGTAGAAGCTAGATTAAGACAAGGAGAAAATCCACGTACTTTTAACATAATTAAAAGGAATAAAGGTTTAAAATTTAAGAAATTAAGGATCATAAAAAAACAAATAAAAACAAGTCGAAAATAAACGATAATTAAAATAATAAAATAAAAATATTAATTTATTCATTTTTAAATATTTTAACCTAAAATAACCCGAAAAGAAAGGTGATTTTGTGACTACAATTTTGTTGCTCGAGTTGACACAAACGTAATTTTTATTATTTTGATTTTACTGTTAATTTTTCAGATTAATTTTAACTAAAAACACGGCGGTTTCGTCAGACATACAATTAGATCATTATCTTCAAAACAGAAGCAGTGAGAATTTGAAGAATAGCCCCTAAGGATAGCCCCAACCCTATAAAAAATAAACGACTTAATTAAAACATTTAAAGAAATTTTTACGTTGTTTATTTAAATTAACTTTTAACAGAATGTTGTTTTTTAAGTTTTAACTTCGAATTCTTTAATATTTTAACATCCAATTATTTCTTCGCTTTTTCTTTTTCTTTACGATGCCAATCATAATGTTGACTAGCTCTATTGTCCAAAGCAGTAAGTTTGGCATTGAGAACGTCAAAGTCATCAATTATCTAAAAAAATAAACTTACTGATCAACATATCCTCCAATAGCTTGCAGAGTAACCTTGAAAAATAAGTAATAATTTTATAAAAAAGTTTAAAAAATACGTTTGAAATCGCCAAAGGTGATTTACACCGTTCCCGTTCAAATTTTCCCCTTGGTGAAGAATTGTGAGCTTTCCAAATGTTCTTTACTTTTGCCTTCAGATCTTCGACTTTGCTTTGAAATTTCCCGCTTTTCCCAACCAGCTAAAATAAAAATAACTATTACTAGTACAAAACATAAAGGCACGTTGCAGAGGTGTGCCCAAGGATCTTAAGAAGCGAAACGCGAAGTTTTCTGTTTTCCTGTAACAACAGTTCAGTGTAAAATTTTTTTGTAAATAGTTGATTTTTCATTTCTTTTTACTAGGCTGATCTCGATTTTATGCAAAAGGTGGCAAAAGTATGTAATAGTTAATTTTTTGGGGGCTTTTTAAATTCACTTTCCCACTTCGCGTTTCGCTTCTTAAGATCCTTGGGCACACCTCTGCAACGTGCCTTTATGTTTTGTACTAGTAATAGTTATTTTTATTTTAGCTGGTTGGGAAAAGCGGGAAATTTCAAAGCAAAGTCGAAGATCTGAAGGCAAAAGTAAAGAACATTTGGAAAGCTCACAATTCTTCACCAAGGGGAAAATTTGAACGGGAACGGTGTAAATCACCTTTGGCGATTTCAAACGTATTTTTTAAACTTTTTTATAAAATTATTACTTATTTTTCAAGGTTACTCTGCAAGCTATTGGAGGATATGTTGATCAGTAAGTTTATTTTTTTAGATAATTGATGACTTTGACGTTCTCAATGCCAAACTTACTGCTTTGGACAATAGAGCTAGTCAACATTATGATTGGCATCGTAAAGAAAAAGAAAAAGCGAAGAAATAATTGGATGTTAAAATATTAAAGAATTCGAAGTTAAAACTTAAAAAACAACATTCTGTTAAAAGTTAATTTAAATAAACAACGTAAAAATTTCTTTAAATGTTTTAATTAAGTCGTTTATTTTTTATAGGGTTGGGGCTATCCTTAGGGGCTATTCTTCAAGTTCTCACGGCTTCTGTTTTAAAGATAATGATCAAATTGTAAGTCTGACGAATCAGCCGTGTTTTTAGTTAAAATTAATCTGAAAAATTAACACTAAAATACAATAATAAAAATTACGTTCGTGTCAACTCGAGCAACAAATATACATGCACACAATTAAATAATTTAATAAATATATACAAATAATTTAAACTTCTTCATCGTTTTCTTCAATAAAACAAATAGACGTTCCATGAAAAGAATTTTCTTTTGGGTCAAAATAAGGCAACGGAATGATTGTAGACAAAGCGGTAAAGCTAATTAAATTTGGACATTGAAGATTAAAATTGTTTGTTGCAGAAGAGAGCTGTACAGGGTCCTAAAGTTAATTAAAAGAACCTCACAAACCATGAAAATGGGTAGTTTGGGTCCTTTTCCTTTTTCATGTTATGAGGAAAACAACATTAGGAAAACAAATTTGGATGGAAATGAATGCTCGCAAGGGAACATTCCGAACTGCCACCAAAAATTTCGCACTTTTTTTTGCATATAGAGGGTCGAAAACCTATTGCCAATTTTTGGATCTGACCGCCAAATCGACAAGTTATAGCTGATCAAAGTTTCAGTATTTTGAAGCGGCTGAGTGAGGAGATAACATGAAAAAGGACCCAAACTACCACTTTTGTATGTTTTGTGGGACCTATCAATTAAAATTAAAAAAATATTTTTACAAAAATTTACATTTCCAATTAAAATTATCCGTTGAAGGTTTTCTTTGCTTGAATAACTTGAAAGAATGTTTTCATACATATCCTGAGTACAATGTATCATATAAAGAAGAGTAAAGTCATTTGGGAATGTAGAAGGAGGTGTTGAAAGTAAATCGTCTGGCTAAATTTAAACAAAATAAAGACAAAAAATAAAAATAAAACCGGAAGAACTTGTATCCCACAACTTTGAAGAAATTCTTCTTCAATTTCCGAAGTTAAAGGATCTTGGGAAGTGACTATTTCTACTCCAAAATATTCTTTGATATGTAAAAGAAGTGCCAATTGCCATAAACTATCTTGACTAGTGCTAATTGGTCCGATTCCAAAAACACGAATAATTGCTAAATTGTGACTATTAAGTGCTTCTTCCAGTTTAGAAAAGACAAAATGCCTAAAATTTAAAAATAGGTAAGTTAAATAAAATTAAATGGTACAGCCCAAAACGGCGCGCGCCCATAGCGGCGCAAAGCCATAACTTGGTGGAAAATGTCTGGCCCTTATCAATTTTGGTACCAATCTCTTCAGCTCGATAAGAGGAATCGTTTAATACAAAATTTGGTAAGATTAGGAAATCTTTAAGCAAGTTATGGCTTTGCGCCGTTATGGCAGCGCGCCGTTTTGGGCGTGTCCCGAAATTAAAAACAAACTTGAAAGACTCTGGAAAATTATTTTTAAATTTTGTGACAACAGTAGACAAATAATCCAAAGAAGTTTTGTTGTCATTATTGGATTTGTGGGTTGTATTAAGTATTGCTTTGCATTTTAAAGTAGAAGGGAAAGTCTTAAATCGACGTCCTTTGCTTCCATGTCGAATAACCAGAGTCCATTCATCTACTGATAAACCCATTCAACTGATAAATAAGGGAAATTTAGTTAAAATTAAAAACGAAGCTTAAAAAACAAAAAAATAAAAAAATAAAAATTTTAAAAATTTTTAGAAATTTTAAAAATTATGTGACGAAATGATCAATTTTTCTCTGTGTGGCAAAGTGTCTGTGGGGCAAAATGGTTTATTTGTTTAAATTTTGGCATTTTGTTCAAATTTCTGCGTAAATTTAAAATAAATGGAACAATAAAAAAATTTTTCCGTCATCAAACTTTTTAGTTGGTTGGTGAGTTTTTGAAAGTTTCAAAGAAATTTTATGATGTATATTTAATTTGATTTTAGATAAAAAATTGTTAATTAAAAAATAATATTTTAATGAAAATTCCTTCGGAGAAACTTAAACCTTTCACCACAGAAATTGTAAGTTTTTAATTTTAAATTTTTTTCTCACAAAAAAATTTTAGGCTCCAGAATGTTCCAAATTGATCTCCAGTTTAAAAAATGCCGGCGATTTTACAATATTCGTTAAAGGCCTTGACAATATTACTGAATGGTGCAGTGTTTTTGGAAAGGTTTATCAAAGATTTTTTAATTTTTTGGTAATATCAAACCTGGCAGATCCCTTCTTTTCTCCCCAGGTTTCTTCCTATATATTAGGAGAATGGGCAGACCTCTTCCCTTCCTTTCTATTTTCCTTTATTCCATCAAAGGAAAGTAAAAATTAATTTCTTTTGATTGTTGTAAGCAAAGTATAGAAAGGCAATTGGAATAGAAGAAAGAAAAATGTCTGACCATTCTGTAGATATATAGGAAAAAGTTAGGGAGAAAAAAATGGGGTCTGTAAGGTTCAATAGTACCAATTTTTCTTTAGACTGAACTTGGTCGTTGGGTTGATGTTTTAAACGATTGTGACGCAGTTTTGGAGGCTGCTGTAGCTTTGGCGAGTTTTAAATTTTCTTAAAATAACTTGCTTAAAATTCAGGACGAAGAGGAAATTATGTCAGTTGACAAAAATGAGTCGCAAGAAGCGCAGATTATTTCAGTTTTACGTTTTACTTCACTTTTGTTTGAAAACACTTTTGGACGTTCCATTTATTGCTCAATGGATCGATTAATTAAACTCCTTGATTCGCGCAAAATTTGGATTGTTGTGGCAACTCTGCGTCTTTTAATGGTTGTTAGCAAGTGTTCTCGTTTTATTACTCAACATTTGAATAGCGATGTGCGACTTGAGCTTTACAGTAAACTTATGGCTATTTTAGAGGTTTAGTTTTTGAAAAATCGTGTTTGAGGGCCAATACTTCGATACGGTCGATATATGTGGCATTCGAACGAGCTATGTGAATGACTTTAAAATTAGCCAGTGTCTCACATATGGGCAGAGTTACATGCCCCTGAAAATTTAGAAACTGTGGAGCCATATGTAGGGTTGTCGGTTCCTGGAAATTCTTCGGATATCCGAAATCGAATTGAAAAATCATCGGTTCTTCTGGTCGGTTCGGTCCAGTACCGACAATCCTAGTCATATGCATATGGGCTCTCAAACCCCTCTGGGCCTTCAAACACAATTTTTATATTTTTCTAACTCATTTTCAAGATTTGGGCAGGCAAATTGCGACTTACACCTTTTGCTGAATTTTGTTCTGCTGACTTTTCTTACTCTCATGGCTTCAGTATTCAACCAATTCCTGAGATGGATGAATTTGTAGTTGATACAAATAAGGTTTTTTAAATTGGGTTTTTTATTTAAAAAATTTTTTAGTCTTTTAATGTTTCTTTAAATGAGCTGAAAAAATATATTTCTGAATCGACGGCAGAACTCAAAGATTCTGAAAAACAATTTGCGTTTACAAAGCTGCGTTTTCTTCATAGTATCAAAAACCAAAATGAGCGTTTTTACCAAATAATTGCTCGTCTTATTTCTTCTTCCATAATATGTAAAGTTTTTTTAAATTTTTTTTCAGTTTATTTGTTGCTTTTTTCTATTCTCACTCCTCTCTTTAGTTTTAATCATTCTTTATCAGGGTCGGGGTTTTCGAGTCGGGCCGACGTTTGAGTCATTTTTCTTTTTTCGGCTGGTCCGACCGAGTTTTTTTTCGTGCTAGAATTCAATGCCCGACTCGATCTTTAGGGCCGGGCCGGGGGCCCCAACCTATTCTTTATGCCTATGCCTATCATTTTAAGTTCATGCCTATCAGTTTAAGTGAAATATGAGTACAAAATAAAAGTGATTGTTTGATCGATCAACTATAACCAAAAATAAATAAGAAAGGAGTAGATGATCTCAAGCTATGGGGGAGGACAGGCTATCCAAAAAGTATCTATTTTTCAACATTTTCAGTTTATTCTCGTTGTTTAATTGCCGATGATTCTCGTTTAAATGGACTTTCCAATGAACAATTTATCGAACAGTGCTGCTCTGTTTTACATTTTGAACCGACAACTAAATATCAAGCGTTGGCTGATACACTCAAAACTGAGGCGTTAAAAACCTTGGCTAGCATTGTCTTTCTTGAGAAGACTAAAAAGTTTGCATATTTTTTCAAAATTTTTCGAATAAATTTTTTAGAATTCAATTTATTGTTGATACTCTTGGTTTGAAAACCTATCACGGATTTTGTCCGTCACTTCTTCGAAATTGTATTGAACGCCTTAAGGCAGGCAAACTTGAGGCGAATGGTGATCTTTCTGCCGCGTTTGTTACTTCACTTTTTTCTCTTGTTTATCATGTTGCTGGATTTGAATATGGTTTTTTACTTTTTAAAGGCAATTTTTATTTCTTTTGTAAGGCGGTGATGCTCTCAATCGTTCATCTTTGGTGCCCGTTCTTTTAGGCGTTGTCAAAACCTATTCACTTCCTGAACAATATATCAGCTATGTCACTCGGTCTGTTCGTATAATTGACATTTTAACGGGAATAGACGTTGCCCAATTTAATTCCAATGGTGGAACTGATGCGATTATAAAGAGATTTTCGGTTTGTTTTGTTTTTGGGAGCAGGCCAACTTACCTCAGAGCTATAAATTTGTTCAGAAGAATCCGGGACGCCTTGATATGTTCGATGCGCCACGACGAGCTGAATCGAACCATACCAGGGCGTCCCGATTCGACCATCTGAACGAAGTCGTAGCTCTGCGGTAAGCTGGGGTGTACCATTTGTTTTTTAAATTTGAAAATTTTTTGTTAGCACGAGGTTGATCAATGCAAAACTCAAATATCTGAACAAACAACACCAAATACGACACTTCTTTGCAGTCAACAACGCGCTGCTCTAATGAAATCTTTGTTAAATTTTATAAAACGGGCAGTGATTGACGCAAACCTTGCAGTTCAAATGCGACGAATAATGGAGACTGAATTTCCACAATCTCTAATTTTCATTATTCAACATTCACAATATTTTGGGTCTTCTCTTCTGCATTGCACAGTGTCGTTGATTACAAATTTTATTTATCAAGAGGTATTTGTTAAAATAGTTTTTTTTTGAAAATTTTTCAGCCTGCCCAGTTAACTATGCTTCAAAATATGAAATTAACTGATGCTTTGATGAATTTAATTTTTGATGAAAAGGTCGGTTTTTTTATTTTCTGATGATTGTAAGGAAAAAACGCTGGCTCTTGTCCAGTGAAAAGTATATGCGTCCCAAGTATATGCGTCGAAAGTATATGCGTCCCATCAACAAAAAATTGGATTTTTCTTGGTGTTGCAAAGTAGGGGTATGGTTCCAAAGCATTTCTTCATGTTCGGGATCTACGTCCACTGGGTCTGGGACCGTTCCTTACCCTATACCTCGAAATTTCTGAAAGTTAAAATCGTTTTTCTGAAATTTTTAAAAATTGGCTATAACTTTCAGAAATTTCGAGGTATAGGGTAAGGAACGGTCCCAGACCCAGTGGACGTAGATCCCGAACATGAAGAAATGCTTTGGAACCATACCCCTACTTTGCAACACCAAGAAAAATCCAATTTTTTGTTGATGGGACGCATATACTTTCATGGGACGCATAAACTGGACAAGAGCCAAAACGCTAACCAAAGCTCACAAGACTGGTATGTAGTTAGTGTCTCTTTCTTTTTTTATGTTGTTTCCTCAATAATTTATTTCCGCATGTATTTTCCTCCTCTTATTATTCTTCACAACATGAAAAAGAAAGTGACTCTAACTACCAACTTTGCATCTTTTGACTAACAATAAGACTTCTTATGATTTTTTCTAAATTTTAGTTGCCAATTTCAAGAGATCTCGTTTGTGCATTACCAAATGTCTGTTCTGCTTTGTGCCTTAATGAACGCGGCCATAACGAATTCAAACTTTATAATAATCAAAAACCTTTAGAAAAAATATTTAGAATTATTTTTTCAAATAAATTTTTACTTTCAATGCGTAAACGAAAAACTGAAATTCGTGAGTTTTGAGAAAAAATATTTTTTTAATTTTTTGTTTTTAGTTGAAACTGCTCATATGCTTGGAACATCTTTTGATGAATTAATTCGTCACCACCCTGCTTTAAGAAAAGATGTTATGGGCATACTTTCTGAGGTTTGTTTTTAATTTTTTGTTGTTTTTTATTTTATGTTCTTTTTAGATTCTTGAGGAGTTGCTTCAATCAGCTACTAGCGAAGATAAATCTGTTAATTGGAGTATGGGAAAGGCTGTAATTGAAGATGATTCTGTTGAGAATGTTTTGCTAGGTGACTATATGGCAATTATGGGAGGTTATTTTTTGTTATTTTTATGAATCTAAAAGGTTCTTTCAGTAATGATTGAAACAATTTTGTCAAATCGAAATGTTCAAGACAACATTCAAACTATAAATGAATTAAACATTCCAGTTCGTTTAGTTAAATTGTTGAGCGAGGCTAAGAAACCACAAACGGTTTTACTCAATTCAAGTTATCTTCCTAATTTGGCAAATATTTTGTGTTGTATTTTGGTATGATATTTAAAAGTTCCTTCAAAAAAATTTTTTTAATTCAGCGACAAACATCTAAAGTTGACGACGCTTTTTCTTATCTGCTAGAACGTTGTTCTTTTGAATTGTCTGCATATTCAACAGAAATTGAATGTCAACAAGAAAAACTTTTTCAATTGATTCGACTCAGTTCTTTGATAAATACAATGAATATTTTAATGAAGTCTGTGATACACGCTCAAGGATCTTACGAGTTTGTTTCCTCTAAAATTGAATTTTTATTTTTTAAAATTAGCAGTATTCGTCCGCTACTTTTACACCATTTTGCGACTGATGACCCTTCTCGGGTTTTTATTGACACGCTCTTTGACACATACAAATTGATGTCTTCTAAATTGTTGGCTAATGATAAAATATTTAATGCGGCAAGGCAAACTACTTCACAAATTCTTGAGGACACAACCAAAGTACGTGACCTTCTTCGAATTGATGATGACCAATCGCTCTATGAGCAGAGAATGGAAGTAGACTCACAAGCGACAACTGTTCCTTCATCCTCAATTTTTCGTACTGGTAATATTCATCCACCTCCATCAATGTATTCTGTTAACCAACCAATTTCCTTCACAATTAATATTGGCCGTGCTACAACTACCGCTTATTCTAGTGGTTCTGACTTGTTTACAAATTATAGATCTGGACCTACAAATTCGAATAGTATTGAGAGCAATTCAAACACTGTTGGAACAACATCAGAAGCTACACCAGCTTCGTTTTCTACACCAACTGAACGTTCACTAAACCATGTTGTTTACCGCTGTCATCGTCAAATTAGCGAGCTTATAACTTGTATTGGAAAAATTTTCTGCAATGCAAGTGTGTTGAAGGTGAGACAACGTTTAGCGATCAGTTTGCAATTAAGTCATGAGACAATAAAGAAAGATTTTCGAAATGTGAGCACGTTAATTCTTGGAGGTGTTCAACGATTACTACAGACAAGCGAAATTGATAGTAGCATTAGGTATGAAGTTTTGAGTAGGGTTGTTCCCCGACGGGGGGGGGGCCACGGGAAACAATTTTCGAGGAAGCAGCGCTACGGGCGTGGAGGCGGGGGACGTGGACGGGAAAATTTTTCACGGGGAAGGGGGAGGGGGGAATTTTCAAAAATCTCTCAAATTCCCCGATTTTCGGGGACGAGGAACAACCCTTGTTTTGAAGTTTATGTTTCTAACATTTTTTTATTTTTCAGTGCTTTATACTTCACTACACCACTTAATTTTCTCAAAAAATTCCTTATAGATGATATTAACAATATTCAGCAATTGCTGCCGGATTTTTATTTGTCTGGCTGTTACAAAAATTTTTTCGCTCTTGTGACAGATTGTTTTAAATCAAACATTACTAAAGGTTATTCAATTTTTAAAAATTTTTTGATCTTTATTTTACAGAGGAATTTACCACAATTATTCATTCATGGCTCAACATTGCCCAAAAATTCTCGTCACCAAATTTGGCAACTCAGCGAAATGGTGCGCAACAACTACCGCCGCAGCAACGGATAACTGTTGATGGTTTTGAGTTGAAAAATTTTTTGGCGATTGCACAGAAGGTGAGTAAATGTTATTTAACTTGGTAAAGAACTGATTGTGAGTTTTCTTTAGGACACCTTTTCTGCTATTTGTTCAATGTTAAAAGAGCTAATGAAGCATTGCGAGACATTCTCTGATGACCCATCAATGCCTTCAACTTCTACTAGTAGTGACAAAGACAAGGGTAGTAGCGAACAAGCGGCTTTTAAATTATTGGAAAAGTTATTGGAATTTATGAAAGGATTGCTTAAAGATATGATGAAATTATTGGAATTAACTGAAGGCAAATCTGAAGCGCCAGCTGAAATTCCTGTTGGCGAAATTGACCCGGCTAAGGTCTTGCATATTTCTAAATTAATAAATAAAATAATAACCTTTCAGATTCAACAACTTGTGGAAATGGGCTTCTCACAAAGCGATGCTGTTGACGCTCTTTTGGTGACATCATCAGTGCCTGAAGCAGCTGAACATTTGGTTAGCATGCTAGAAAGGAATCCTACAGGTCTAGGTTAGTCATCTAAGTTAGTAGCAATGCTCAAAGTATTTTTTATTAGTTCCACCAGTCGTTGCAGCATCAGCAGCACTAGCAGAAGAATTGGCATCAAATGCAATTGTAGAAGCAGCTCTGGCTCCACGAATTTCTGGTCCAAAAGCTCTTGATGATACTCAAAAACGGGAGAGTACACTTATGGAACAAGATACTCCTTTGAGCGCGCTAAAGCCTCTGAACAGGGATGATCTTCAGGTTTTTTAGATATTGCGTACAGTTAAAATTTTATTTTTTTTACCTTTATAGGAGAGAGTAGAATTTATTTGCAAAGATATAGTCACGCATTGCCTTCGTCTTCTCAACAAAAATCGCTCTGTTGTTCTGGGTTTAGCAGAGTTGATAACTATTTTTGCTGAGGATCATTTAGCGCGTTCTTGGGTGGATGATGAATTTATTGGTTTGCTTATCAACGAGTTAAGCATTGAATTGGATAAACTTTCGAGTGGTGGACATCAAAAAGATGACGAGTATGGTCGGCAATTTTCTTCACTTTTGCATCTCTTCTGCCTAGTTTGGCAAAATTTCCCTAATCAGAAAATCTACAAACGAGTATCCAACGATAGGACCTCAACTTGAAGAACGATCAACACTTTTTGTTTTGTTGATCGATATTAAATAATTTTATCATATATGCTTTGATTTAATGCATATTTTTTTTGTTTTTTGATGTTTTTTCACATAAATATGTTTGCATATGATGGTTAGGTTTTTCATATATTTTTCTGATTTTAATTCTCAAGAATATCTTTTGATTTTTTTGATTTTATATAATTTAACCTTAATTTTTTTCTAGTTTTTTTATGATTTCTTTGATTAGGACAGATCTGCAAGTTTTCTGTCGAATCGGCGCGAATTCCTTGTCTATTTGTGGGCATCGCTATGTGAATTCTAAATTATTGCTCAATTCAAATTTACGACCGACAATAATGTTTCGATTATATTCTAATAAAAATGAAGTCAAACCAACAAAGAACATAACAAAAGAAATTGCTGAACCGACACGTAGTTATCTTGAAGACATTTTGGACGAAAGTGAGGAAAAGCCTAAAACGACTGGACAAAAAGGTTGTTTTGATTATTTATCTGGGTGAGGGGAACTCAAGGAATACCAAATCAGGGAACGATAAGTCAAGGAAAACAAAAGTCAGGGAACGACCAACTCACGGGCCATACCAACTCAAGGAACAGACAAGTCGACGAAGCGCTAATGAGTGAGAACTTAATAGTTTCAAAAGATAAGAAAATGATTAAGTCCTAATAAATAAGGATACAAAGATCAAAAAAGGGAAAGAAATTGAGTTGGTATGGTCTGTGAGTTGGTCGTTCCTTTACTTGTCTGTTCCTTGACTTGTCTTTTTCTTGATTTGTCAGTTCCTTGAGTTAGCCCAACACGATTTATTTTAAATTAAATATTTTCTATAGTTAAAAGAGCAGCAGAGACTTCTTTTTATGTTAGCGTTGGACTAGCTTCGTTATCGGTACTTGGTGGTCTAGTATATTTGCTCGTGAAGGAGTTATTCTCGTTCAGCTCGCCAAACGGTGTTTATAGAGATGCATTTAAACGGGTAAAAAAGGATGATAGATGTTTTGAATTGTTTGGAGAGGGACTGCGAGCGCATGGCGAAACATCAGGTAGAGGACGAAGGCGACACATTGCCAATCAACGATTTGAGAAGGATGGACAACAAAGACTGCGAATAATGTTCCATTTAAAGGTTTCTTTGAAAATCATTGTTTTAATTTGATTTATTTTTTTAAGGGAGACAAAGCAAACGGAAAAGTTCATGCGGAAGTAGCGAATATAGACGGCAAATGGGATTATAGGTTTTTAATTGTCGAATGTGAAGATCAGCGACCACACACTATTGTTTTGATTGATAATAGATGATTAAAATTTTGATTATTAAATTTTTTATAAATCGTTTTAGCGGTTATTTAATGCCGAGATTTTTATTTAGTATTCTGGGTACAGCCTAAAACAACGTGCGGCCATAACAATGTAAAGCTATAACTAGCTGGAAAATTTTTGGCCCTTGTCAAAGTTAGTGCCAATATCTTTATCTCGATGATACCAAATTTGTTAAAATGTCAGAAATCTTGAAGCAAGTTATGGATTTGTGTTGTTATGGCCATGCGTTGTTTTGGGCGTGTCCCATTATTTTTTATTTCCTTTACTAATTTATTTAACAGAATGTTTCTGACTTATGAACAGGCTTAGAAAGAAATTTTTTAAATCTTTCTATATTCAATGCCTTCTATGGACTTTAATTTATTCAACAACGTTATTTATTTATTTTGCCTTCATCAGACTAAATACTTGGCCAAAACAACAGACATTTCATTATAGAAAAATTATTCCAGATTACAACTGTACTTGCAACAAAGATATTATTAAAAAATCAGCATTTAATACCCAACCAAGGTTTTTAAATTTTTTTTCATTTTCTCCAAGTAATACAACTCAACGAATATTATTTTTATCTGATTCGATAAAGAAGTCGGAAATTTACAACTTTTTTGCTCAATTTAAAGTGCCTGTTAGACAAGAACAACACTTACCAGGCGATATTTTGCTTTTAGAATTGAATGGAAATCCAAGATTTTCTCTTATAGTGTTTGAGAATTTCTTGACATTTTATAATCTTTCGAAAGAACAAAAAGAAGTGTTGCACAATTTTTCCAAAAAATATTCTGTTGGCATCATTTCATTTTTTGAATTTGATGGTGGAAAAAGAACCCTCAAAAATTTTGGCGAATTTGAGGCTTTTGGTGGATTACAAGTCAAAACAGTTTCGTTTTCTTCGAATTCTCCCGTCAGAAAAATAGGCAAAGATGGATTTGAATATTCTTTTTCTGAAACGGAACAAACTGGATGGACACTTTTTAAAGAAGTATTGCCTAATTCAATTCCTCTATTAGAGGCAACAATGACAGAAGGAGATATTTTTTATCCAGCTTTTATTTTTAATGAGGGTATGCATGCTATATTTGGTGCAAAACCTGACCATTGGATTGTCTATATTGCCTTATTGGATACAATTAATTATTTTGCTCCTAATATTTATTCAGAAAATTTGGAAAGGTTTTTTTATTTTTTAAATTATTTTTTCTAAAAATCCTCGTGTTTTTCTTTTTTCATTTTTAAAATGGTCAAAGGCGCATAATGGTCACAAAAATAATTATAAAATAACGGTCTAAACATTTGGAAGCATATTCCAATTTTCATTTTTATTGAAGATTGGGTTGGACTACTATCCTTCGATCCAAGGCTCCTTCTCTCCAAACTGGGGCCTAATCCGTTAGGACATCCCTCGGCTGCTGCAAATTTTGCTATTGTTGTTATTTCCAGTCGCTTCCCATTTCCTTGTTTTTTTCTCTCTTTTCCTATCGTTGACTAGATAGTCGCGACATTTTTCAATTTAGTCCCTGATCATTGCGTTCCTTAAACCATTTTTAATGAAGGGAGATCATGAAAATACGGGGTGTAATACCTAATATTTTTATTATTTCTAGGTTTATTCAAATCGATATTGACGACGTTTTTGTTGGTGCTACCGGGTCTTTGTTTACTGCTAATGATATCAGAGCGCTTATTAATCTTCAAGAAAAATTAAGAAATTCAATTGAAAATTTTACTTTTTCGCTTGGATTTTCTGGTTATTTTTTTCGGCATGGATCTGATGCTGAAGTTGAGGGAAATGACTTTCTTGTTGGTATTTTCTGTGGATATTTAAATGATTTTTAAAAATTCTTTAAGCAAACGCGCAAAATTTTAACTGGTTTCCTCATATGTGGAGGCACAATCATGCTCACGAACATTCTTTTGATTATTTACTTGCTTTAATGGCACAAAATAAATTTTTTGCTGAGGTTTGTTTTTTAATTTAGAAATTTTTTTTAACAATTTTAGAACTATGGAATCTCTACAAATTTGTCTTATGCTATAGCACCGATACATTCAGGAGTTCGTTTTCTCTCTTAAAATTTTTAATAGAAATTTTTTTAAATATATTTTTTCTTTGTATTTTCTCTCTTAAGGTTTATCCTGTTTATCAGCCACTTTTTGATGGTTGGAGAAGAATTTGGAATATTAGTGTTACTTCTACTGAAGGTTATTGAATGTTTTTCCATTTTCATTTTATATAAATTTCTTTTGATTTTAGAATACCCACATTATTCGCCCTCTTCTCAACGTCGCGGTTTTATTTATGAAAATATTAGCGTCTTACCACGGTAAATCTTTTGGGAAAAGCTTTAAATCATCTTAAATTCGTTCAGACAAACCTGCGGTCTTTTTACTCATACACATTATTTTCATGCGTATCCTGGAGGAATAGAAAATTTTTTAAATGGCATTTATGGGGGCGCTGTTTTCAAAACTTTTCTGCTAAATAAATTCTCAATTTTTATGACTCATCAACAAAATTTTGCTAATGACAGACTTGGATCTTTTACTTTTTTAAATTTAATAAAATTTGTACAATGTTGGACAAATTTGAAATTGAAGTGGATTGAACCTGTTGAAATGGCAAAACGTTACTTTGAGAAATTTAAGAGTGAAGAGACGTTGTTATACACGGTTAGTATTTTCTTTTGAAAATTAAAAAAATTAGACAAATTTTTGTTAAAATTGTCTTGTCGTTTACGAGGCTCCCTTTTTTCCTCCCCATGTGATTTCTCATGAATCTAAAGAATGGTCAGACTTCCTTGCCTTCGTCTTTCCTAATTTCCGGTTTGTATAACAATCAAAAAGAATTCATTATTCTGTTTTGGAGTGGAAAAAAGACGGAAAACCTGACAATTCTGGACATTAAGTAGAAAAAACTAGGGAGAAGGGGGACAAGTTACCAAAATTTTTAAATACGGACAACTTATCAAAATTTAATTCAAAATTTTTTTAGAATTTCTGTACCGACAAACGCCACATTCGAATGCTCCCAGTGACTACATCTTGTAATAAATTCCAACACCTTCCTAATTTAATAATTTTGGGCCCACAAAAGACGGGTTATATTTAATTTTTATTTTTTTTTAATTAAAAAAAGATATTTTAGGTACAACAGCTTTGTCAATGTTTTTACAAATTCACCCAAATATTTCAACAAATTTACCAATTCCTGGTTATTTTGAAGAACTCCAATTCTTTGCAGGTCCAAATTATAATAAGGGAATTGATTGGTATGTAGAGAATTTTATTTTGAATGAATCGTCTTTGCCTTCATTAATTCGTTTTGAGAAGTCCGCAAATTATTTTGACAATTCAAAAGCTCCAGCAGCCATTTCAGCATTATTGCCTAATGCAAAATTGATTGTAGTTTTTAGCGATCCTGTTAAAAGAGCTTATTCTTGGTATAAGGTTTGAAATAATTTTTTTGAAATTTTGTAAATTTAATTGGATATAGTATACCGGAGGCCACTCTCTATTCACGGAAATGCCTGTGAACCGAGATATAGGTCCCTCAAAATCAAAAAACCATAGGGGGGAGTAAGCACATTTTCGAGGTGAAAAATTCGATTTCTTGAATGATAGCTCATTCGAAAGAGCTCCACGAGCTCATTTCGTCTCATCTCGCCGAGATGAATCGAATGGTATGTGTTTCTTACGAAATTTTGCCTCAGGTATACATAATACAGCTATTTGATTTTAAAACGTTTAGCATATGCAAGCAAAAAATGATTCTGTTGCCCTTAAATATTCTGCCGAGGAAGTTCTTATTGGAAATTTTACTGAAACTGATCATTTAAAAAGGTTTGATTTAAAAAACAAATTTTAGAAAATAATTCTCTAAAATTTAAAGAAGATCTCTTTTACCCGGCCTTTATGCTCAACATCTTGAATATTGGTTCGACTTCTTTCCTCCTTCAAATTTTTTGTTTGTTGACGGGGACAGACTTCGTACTGAACCATATCTCGTCCTTCGCGATTTATTCAATAAATTGGAACTTCCAATTGTGGACAATTTATCCAATCGTTTAAAATTTTCTCAAAAGAAAGGATTTCATTGCATCGTTTTGGATAATAAAAAAGCTTCAATGCATTGCCTTGGAAAAAGCAAAGGACGTCGTTACGAGCCAATGTCTGAACGGCTGAAGAGTCATTTGGAAGCATTTTACTCAGAGCCGAATAAATCTTTAAAAGAATTTTTAAATGAATATAAAATACCTTTACCTTCTTTTTTGATTAATTAAGAGAAATTTTTTTAATTATTTTAAGACGATCTCACTTAAATAAAAAATTTTTATTTATTTTTTAAATTTTTTAAAAATTCTGTTGTGATCAATTTTTACCTAAAATGTTAAATTTATTTTCCTTAATTTGATTTATTTTTTTAGGAAAAAATGCCAAAATATTACTGTGACTATTGCGACGCTTTTCTTACTCACGATTCGCCATCTGTTCGTAAAACGCATAATTCGGGACGAAAGCACAAGGTTTTTGCTTAATTAGTTTTTTTAGTATTTTGCAAGTATAGGAGAATGTTCGTCATTTTTACCAAGCCTGGATGGAAGAACAAGCTCAAAAATTGATTGATGCTACTACAAAGGCTTTCACTACACAACGAATGATGGCCCCAAATATGATTCCACCGATTGCTTCAGCTGGGATGATGGTAAAATTTTTTGTTCACTTACAAATTAATTCTCTTTAAACTAGGTAGCACCTCGACCCCTGAAACCCCGACTATTTTTTTGGCAAAAACCCCGACCCGAACCTCGAAGACTCTACCACGGCAAGCCCCGATCCCCGACGCTCGGGGTGCTACCCTACCTTAAGCCCTCGAACGCTCGGGGTGCTACCCTACCTTAAGCCCTCAAACCCTTTTCAGCCTCGTCCTTTCTTAATGCCGCCGATGGGAATGTTGCGTCCACCAATTATGCCACCCAATTCATCTGGCTTTTTCATGCCTCCAGTTCCAACTACAGGCTTCTCTATAGCTAATCCTGGAATGCCTACAGGAATGCCTCGTATTCCAATTCCACACATGCCAATGCCACCAACAACTACTGGATCGGGAGGTGAAAGTGGAGGGCAACCACAACTTCGAACTCAAATAAAAATGCAGCCACCAGAATAGTATTTTGAATAACAAGGAAGAGTTTAAAAAATGTTGAAATTTTTTTGAGTTTTTTTTTCAGTTTTTTGCTTTTAATTTTAATTTGATTTGAAAGGGTTTTGAAAAACAGACTAGGGAAATTTAAAAAAAAGAAAATTCCAAGTCAAATTTCCAAAAAAAATCAACCCAATTTTCTTTTATTTTGTTTCTTTCAATTTTTGATCGGATAAAGTGTTTTGTTTAAATTTTTTTCTTCTAATATTAATTTTCTTTTAATTTAAATATCTTTTCAATTAATTTCCTCATTTAATTTATTAGATGGAACAAAATGAAATTCGTCGTCATATTAATAGACAATTTTCAATTAGAGGACATTCTCTGAGCAAGGACACTTTATCCTACCTGGTTGACCAATTAAAAGATATGGGCCGTGAACAATATCAGAAAACGATGGCCAAAGTTATGGAATTAGTCGAAAAAGAGAATGGTTTTTACATTTTTAAATTTTATAAAAAAAATTTTTAAGTTGATTCTGGTCTGTTGGACTTGAATTTACTCAAAAATGTCTTGAAAGTACTTTCTAGACAACAGAAAAATGAAAGGTTAATTTCTTTTTCGGATGGACTATAAAACTTATTTTTCTTCAGTGAAATTAATTTCAAACTCGAAAATGCTTTTGAATTGTTAGCAGCAAATAAGGAGACGTCAAGGGATGTTCATTTGGGTACTGATGTTTATTGGAAACGATTTGATCTTGTTAAAAAGGTTGGATTTTTAAAAGAATTTTAGGGAATGTCATTTTTCATGTAAGATTTTGGAATGGTTTTTTTTGGGTTTCTTAGTTTAGAAATTTTTATTAATTTATTAATTTGCATTAAGTCGCATTTTTACACAAAGTTTAATATATGATGATGGTTAAGTTGGATATTTCTTAGTTACATCTTACCACAGTCGAAGGTTCGAGTCTAGAGTCACTGATACATTATGTTCATTCGTGTTTTCAGTGCTAAAATGACTCATAAATTAATTTCACGTGCACACTCTTGACAAATTGTTTGTTTGTTGGGATATACAGCATTGAGACATTTTTATAATTTTTTTTATCTATTTTTTAAAATACCAATTTTCAGTTATTGGTTAAAAATCAATCAACGGAAGATGATGTTTTTGTTTCAATCGATTCAATTTTTAATTTATGCGGCTCCAAAATATGTATATTAGCTCAACTCTGTAGAGGAGACGGTGCCTGGTTTGTAGCTGAAGATCAAACAGCAAGAATCAAACTAGATTTGACAGAAGCAACATACGAACCTGGAATTTATTTTGAGGGGGGTATTTTTGTTTTTGAAGGAGTTTGTTCTTTGACAACATTAAAAGTTGAAAAAGTGTCACTTCCAAGACTGAGTGGAATTAATTCAGAGGAAAATACTTCACAACGGCAAGATGTTCGCTTCTCAAGAAGAAGGGATCCAAACGACAGAATTTGCGTTTTTTCTGATCTTTTGTTGGATAATGATAAGGTTTTTATTTAGAAGGCTTGATATCAAGGACGTAGCCAGGGGGCTTCTTGGGTTAAATTCCCCCCCCCCCTCCCCAAAAATGGGGAAAAGAAAAAAATTTGAGAAGGGATTGAGCAAGACCTTCCAAATTTCAAAAAATTCTCGCCTGCGTCGCCCAATTTTATCCCCCCCCCCCCCTGAAATCGACCCCCTTGCTACGCCCTTGCTTAATAAACTATATTTATTTTTTTCAGGTTTTGAAAGCTTTTTATCGAATTCTTGATGGTTTTTCATCCAATCCACCAAACATTTTTGTCCTCTGTGGCCGTTTTTTGAGCGTGCAAAGAGCTTATGGATATACTGATCAAAGTATTACAGCTTTCCGTCATTTGGCCAATATTCTTTCACATTTTTCTACAATTTATTTAAATTCGGTATAATTTTTGAAATTAATTTTTTGAGGAATCTTCCATCAATTCAATTTTTGTAGCATTTTATTTTGGTGCCGCATCAAGAAGATCCCCCACCTCTCATCACATTTCCATGGTTTTTATTTAAAAAATTATTTTATTATTTTTTGTCTTTCACAGCCCTCCTCTACCCCCAAGTGTACAAAAATGTTTCAAAGATTTGCCAAATATACATTTTGCTTCTAACCCATGTCGACTTATTTTCAAGGATAGACATTTTCTTATATTCCGTGATGATGTGATAGAAAAAATATGCAGGTCAGCCATTCATATGCCAAAAGATGTACAGGCTGAAATGATTCCAAAATTGGTAGGGAATTTTCAAAAAATTTCAAAAAAAAATTTTCAAAAAATTTCTGAAAATTTTCAAAAAATTTTTAAAAAAATTTCAAAAAATTTCCAAAAAAATTTCAAAAATTTTTTTCCAAGTTTTGCGACACAATGTGGAGTCAACGACACCTTTCACCACTTCCCCTCTTCTACAATTCAATACAACCCGAAACTGATAAATTATTTCATTTATGGCCTGAACCGGATGTTCTTTTATTAGCCGATAAATTCAAAGGATTTATAGAAGAAGAAAATAATCAGAGACGGTTAACGATAAATCCAGGGCCTTTTTTGGCAGAAAATTTTGAATTTCAAGTATATTTCCCAACTTTAGGAAGGGTCGATAATTCTGTTTTTGTTTTAGATGAGAATTGATAAAAATTGATAATTTTAAAATAATCATTCGATTATTTATTTTTTTTAAATTGAAGGTTTTAAGCCTTTATTAATTTTTCTTATTTTAAATTATAGAAGTTCGGAATCTTGATTAGGGTTAGGCCGACGTTCGAGTCATTTTTTCGGGCTTCATTTTTATCGGGCCGGCCCGACCGAGTCTTTTTTGGGCCAAAATTTGATGCCCGACTCGATCTTTTGGACCGGACCCCCAACCCTAACCCTGATCCCTTCGAATAATCTTCCCTTTTTGAAATTGATTTGTCCTCAATTTAATTATTTTCCCTCGTCAAAGCTTCCCTTCTTCAAACGCTTCGCTTAACAAATTTTTTGGCATTTAGAATTATTGTTATTTGAGTATGAATTATTTTTTTGTTTTCATTAAGCTTGGGTAAAAAAAATAAAATTTGGCTTCTAGGTTTGGAGATTTTTTAGTTAATTTTAAATTAATTTTTAAATTCATTTTCAGATTAAATTCTTAAAAATATGAGCTTTGCTAATTCAATTCCATCAATTATTCCGTCCTCATCAACATTAACATCTCCAATTATAACAACTTGTGAAAATATTAATGAGACATCTCCTTACAAACAAGACAATCAACAACAACAACAAAACAATTTAAACCAGACTAGAAGTTCCCCAACATCTGTGGGAACACCAAAAGAAACTTCTAATGCTGGAAAGCAGCCGCCATCAAAAAGTTATTGTATTTTGACTCCTTGTAGCAATTCTCATCCTTTTGAAGAGCGAAGGTTTTTTTTTGGATTTTTTTAGTAAATTTTATTTTTTTTTAAAGAATTCTTGTTGGACGATCAGAAGAAAATGCTGTTAAAATTGGACGTTCTATTGTTAGACTTCAACCAGCACATAGTAATGCGATTTTTGATTGTAAAGTGCTTTCAAGGAATCATGCAATTCTTTGGTTAGTTTTTTTGTTGGATTTTAAGATGATTGGGTTTTTGGGAGGTTATTTTGTTATGATGGGTTATGGGATTTTTTAACTTTGATTTTGCGGGTTCTAACAAGAAAACTTGGAGTTTCGTTCCGACCGGCAAAATCGATTTTTCCGATTCCGGATTTGTAACTTGAGCCGGATTAATCCGGTTTTGCATTAATCCGGTCCGGTTCTAATCAGAATATTACGAAAAAACATGGATTTGGGACCCGAACTCCGGAAAAATCATGCCGGATCCGGTCACTAATTTTTACCTTAAATAATTTTCAAAGCTTCTTGGATTTTTTTTGTCTCTCCTAATCCTTTATGAATAATACCATAAATAAGATCATTTTATTAGCATAAAATCTTTAAATATTTAAGGATGAATGATGACGTTCATTTCTTTATTAAAGACACACGAAGTTCAAATGGCACTTTTATAAATAATGATCGATTGAGTTCAAGTGGAGAAGAAAGTATAATAATTTTTAATCCTTATATAATTTTCGAAAAATTATTTTAGGTGAGCCAAGAGAGCTCTTTTCTGGTGACATTCTTCAACTTGGAGTTGAAATTGTGGATAATGCAAAGAAAGGTTTTTTTTGAGTGTTTTTAATTTTTATCATTTTTTTGTTAAAGTCGCTAGTGGATGTGTTACTTGTATTGTACGTTTGACAAATGAGAGAGGCGAAGAATATGTGGATAGACCTCAATTGGACTCTTTTGCCTTTCCCATTCGAAATGAAAATCAAATTCCATTAAATTACACTCTGGTTCGAAACGACAAATTATTTATTTTTGAACAATATTTAAAAGAGGCAAAACACAGAGAGAACGTAAGAAATTCTTTGTTTTAAAATAATTTTATTGTTTCCAGCTTCTCGGTCAAAAGCTTCAAACGATCGAAGGTCAACTTTTAACTGCACAAGAAGAACTTCAGGCAAAATGGGATGAACATATCAACCAGGTTTTGAATTTTAATAATCAATTTTAAGAATAATTTATCTTGGGAAGGGTTTCTATCTAGGTAAAGCCGTATGTCTCTTTTCAAATTTTTTGCTAACAAGGAAACATTCCGAACTGTATGTAAAAATTTTGTATACATTTTTGCACCATCATGTAGAGCATGGTCGATGTACAAGTATACTCAAGGGGTCTAACTTTGAAGCCCTATAACTTTTCGATTTGGGGGGTCAAGGCCAAGAGAGCAAAAAAACTGGCAATAGGTTATCGACCCTGCTCTACATGATGGTGCAAAAATTTAAGAAATTTTCACATACAGTTCGGAATGTTCCCTTGTCAATCCAAGAATATTCGAGATGATATTATTACCCTCTTATTTCCAATAATACTCGATTCCGTATTTTTTAAAAATCAAAAAAAAATTTTTTAAAGGAACTTCTTCTTTCTCGTATTGAACTTCTTGAATCTCAATTATTAACTTATCTTAATGCTAAAAACGCTGTATCACCCAAAAATGCCCAAACTGCCTCTACTAACTGTGTAGAAAAAGAAGAGGAAGTGAATCAATTAAAACGAGAAATTCGAGAATTAATTGAAGACAGAGCAAAGTCTGAACAATTGGCCAAAGAGTCGATTAGGTTTTTTAAATTTTTTTAATAAATTAATTTTTAAAAAATTTTAGGAAGAAATGCGAACAAATTCAGGAAGCAACTATGCGTTTGAATGATGTAGAAATGGGTTTGGTAAATGTGGAAGAGGAGTGCGGTTTTCTTCGACAGCGTTGTTCAGATTATGACTTGCAACTTATCAAGCAAAGAGACAATTATGATATGCTTATGGGAAAGTATAATGAGGTTAGTGGGCAGTTTAGTTTTGATTAGGTGTGGGGTTGGTGGATTCTGAGAATTGCTGGACCCGATATCCAAACCGAAAATTTCGGATGTTGGGATTTTTTCGGATCCGAATCCGCCAACACAAGATGGGTGTGTTCAAGGGAAAATTTACATGAAAATCACTTTTTTAATGTTGTAAAGGTTTACGAAATTTGTAACTTTCTCTTTTTTCCTTAGGTCTGTGCTCAACTAGTTACGGCAGAAAAGGCTGCTGCTAGTGCCGAAAAACCTCTTCAACCACCACCATCACCTCCTCCCTTGGAGAAAGGTTTTTTGGTGGAGAATGGTGGTGACGTTTCTACTTGTTCTTCAACTGATACTAAAGAAGAGAAGGGGAGTCAGAAAACGGATAAAAATGCTGAAAAGGTTATTTTTTATAAAAATTTTCTTTCAATTTTGTGGATATTTTCAGATGGATATAAGCGATAAAGACCATAATAAACAGCATGAATCAAATGTGGAAGAGGGGGAGATTGTCAGTCCGTCTTTGGAAGAAGGGGAAATTGTTAGTTTGACAAAGTCGACATTTTATAATGAAGAAGAGCAAAAAATGGCCAATTACTTCCATAATTGTAAAGAACAGGAATTACTTAAGAAAGTGGCTGAATTGGAGTTACAACTTAAAGAACGTAAAATTAATGGGAATAATAATAATGAAGAGGAAAGGGCTTTGACTACAACAACGACACCTCAATCTTCTGACGATTTTCAGGTTATTTTTATATTAAAACCTCGTTTTAGACCTCCCAAGGTCGTACATTATAATGAGGGGTGCCTTAAATTTGAGGTTTGGCTTAAGCAACTCCAAAGTCTAGCAATCCATGGGAGGAGGAGTAGGCTGTTACTAAAGACCTCATTACACACCTCATTTTACCCCCTCCTGAAACTCGACCCCTGGATACACCTTTGAAGTCCGATCAAATTTAGAAAAAAGGTATCTTAAATAGAGGTGTACCCTATATTGGGCGTATCTTATTTGGAGTTCCGATTTTTAAAAATTGTTTAAAAAATTTGTTTCCTTAGGTCTTTTTGTTGTCAATCTTTCCATTTTTGCTTGTTTTGTTGTTGTTTCTTGCACCATTCTTTTACTTTTCTGCTTGGCCTTGGACTTCAAATAATGTGCAGCAAAATGTGGAGAATGAACAACAATTATTGCAAAATGAAGAAGAATTAACAAATAAAGAGGAAAATGAATGAGAGACGGTATTTTTATAAAAATAAAAATTTAATTTTTCTGGGATTAACAATTTTAATTTTCTTGTTGTAAAAAATTATTTGGATGACTTATACTCATTTAATTATATATATACCTACCTACTTTTTTTGTTTTTATTTTAAGGTTTTAACAGGAATAAATTTGAATTAAATTAAAAATTTAAATTTTGATATTTTTTGGGGCCTAATAAAAAATTTTTTATTCAGAAATAAAAATATTAAAGGAAATCTATGTATTAGGATGGATCGAGTGTTATCTGAAACTCCAATCAGCAGAATAATTAAAAATCTGGCGCGAGACCCGACCCAAATTTCCTCGGCTCTATTATGTCATTATACGTCCTTTGAGCATTTAAGCGTCCCATGATGGAACGCTTATATTCTCATGGGACTACTAGAGCCCTTTTCCTCTCCATCCGGTCCATCCTTGTGGAGTCTACTTATATTTTAACTAAATTGGGATGTCTGACCTTCTTAAATAAAGGCCAACCAAAAAATTTTAAATTTGTACCAGAAGAATTTAAATTTAATTTTAGTTTAAATAAAAAGTACAAGCTTAAATTTGCATAAAATTAACATGCTCTTTTTCCAATAAATTTCCATAAAGGAAAAGAAAATTTAATAAAAAATGCAAAAAAAGATGTCTAAATTTCGTGTTAAAAAAGGAGGAATTTAAAAAAAAAGGAATTTAATTTTTAATTAAAGGGAGAACATTAAAAAGATGTTTTTTTTTAATTTGAGTGACATTAGGAGACTTGAAAAAATTATTTTTCTTTTACTAAATTCCATTTCTTGTCAATTTTGTCCAATCCATTTTTCCGAAGAATAATTTTAAAAAAAATAGGAAATTATAAATTTTTTCTGTTATTTTAAATACCCTTTCCCCCCTTCTTTCTGCTTTATCCTCCCTCCCCTCTATTCCTCCCCCCCCCTTCCATCTATCCCCTTCTCACTCCCTTCTATCCCCCCTATTCTCCTCTATCCACCCTTTCTTCCCCTTATCCTCCTTCCCCTTTCCTCCTTATTTTCCCCCTAAAACAAACTAGCCTGATGAGGGTAGCACAAAGTTAGCCTTTATTGGAGATATAATATCCCTTTCCCTTTTTTAAAATTTTTTTCCTTTTCTCAATGACTTACTTTTACATTTTTTCTTAGCTTCTTTTGCTTTTAAAAAGGCCCAAGTCGATGTGTTTTTGCCTGCCAAGCATTTGCTTACCTTCTCCTTTTTAGCTTGTTTTTTCAATATGTTTTTAAGTACATACATATGTTTTGTAAGCTTATTTTATTATTTTTTTTCTTTTGCTAGATGTAAAAGAATTTTCTTTAAAGAATATTTCTCTGTTTTATATTAAATATATCCTCTCAGTTTTATCCGCTTTTCTGTTTCTCGTTTTTTCTCTTTTAAACATGCGCCTTTATGTTTGTATTACACTTTTTCTTCTCTCCCCTATTTCTTTAAATTTTTCTTTTTCTCTAATCAACACGTGCTTGTTTACCACAACTTTGTTATTGGCATTTTGTCTTCTCTTTCTGGGACACGCCCAAATAGGCGCGCGGCCATAACGGCGCAAAGTTATAACCTGCTGGAAAATTTCTGACCCTTATCAATTTTGGTCAATTTTGGTACCAATCTCTTTAGCTCGATGAGAGGAATTTTTTAATACTAAATTTTGAAAGATTCGGAAATTTTGAAGCAAGTTATGGCTTTGCGCCGTATATACGCGCGCCTACTTGGGCGTGTCCCCTCTCCTCTCTTCTTTATCTTTCTCCTCTCTGTCTTTCTTTCTGCTTCTTATTTATTTTTACTTTTTTTTTAGGTCAAACGGCTGTCTCCTTTTTGCTTATTTACAGCCTTTACTTAAATTTATATGTCTACTTTTCCTCCCAATATTCAAATTATTCTTTTTTGAGGGCCACCATCTTAAAAACCTTCCCCTTTTCGCATAACTTTTATTTTTTCGAAAGCTTTTTGGTGGCTTTTTTGGTTGGAAAGTGACGCCTTTTTGCCACTTTTTTTCATATTTTTATAAAACAAACGTCATTTCTTTCCAAAATATTTTTTAAAAAATAATATTAAAAATATAGTAAGTATTTGGTTTCGTTGCCTATTTTTTCTTCAAAAAAATTTTTTTTTAATTTCCAATTTTTATTTTTCCTTCGCGGAAATTTTAAAATTTATTTTTCTCAATTAAAAGCATTTTGTTTTATTTTCCTCTTTTGACATAATTATATGTTATACTTTTATTTTTTTTAAAAACGTCTTCTCGTCTCTTAAATGACAATTATTTCCGTAACAATTTTATTAAAAAAATTTTTTGCTAAATCTTGCAATTACATTTACTTTTTATTTTGGTTAAGCCACAAGATTGAACCAGTAAATTTTGATGGTTTTGATGCGAGGCGAAATTCTTCGTGTTCCAATGTTTTTTTTCTAATTTCAGAATTCTTTAAAAAATTCCAATTTTTCGATATTCGAAAGTTAGTAGTTCCGATTTTAACGGAACTACTTTACGTAAAAGTTTGGATGACCATCTCCCATTTTTCTTGTTTCCCTGACCATTTTGAGCTTTTTGTTATGATTTTATTTTATATCATTCGAAGGAACATCTCGAGCAGGTCGATGATATCGGCTAGTTTTGATGGGGGATGGTCAGCCAAATTATTGCCCTAATTATAACGGAACCCCCCTCCCTCCCCAAGACCTCTAGTTTTGTTATGAATTCTAAAGGATTGTGTTAATTTTTGACTTAATTTATTTCTTTTCTAAACAGAAAAAAATTATAAAAAAAATTTTATATCCAAATTTTATATTATTGGAGCTGCTAAAATTCTTCCCTTTAGAACCCTTTTAAAATGAATTCCCCAAATTTGCAACGTACAAGAGAAAGGAGAAGTAAAATAATTTTTAAAAGATTGAGAAAAAAGAGAAGAAAAGAAGGGAAAGAATTTAATAAAAAATTAATAAAAAATAAAAGAATATTTTCAACAAAAATATTTTTAATTTTATTTTCAACAATTTTATTAAATGAATTTATTTTAAATAATGTTGAGGCTATTCGTTGTTATTGTACAGGTATTTTTTTTGTTATAAAAATTATTTTTAATAATTTGGGGGTTAGTCCACTAGATAATAGTTTATTTGGAATTTTCTGAAGAGAAGCTACATAGGTTACTGAAACTGAAACACGTCGGAATATCTAAAAACTTCCAGCCGGTTTTTTGGTGTTTAAAAATTTAAGATAGCTTCCATCCAACAAATTCACATAAACAATTTTTGGGTGTGATCTTGTGAGTTAATCTAATTAAAAATATTCCGAATATTTTCCAAGATAAAAACTAGAAGGAAAAATTAATTTTCTTAATTTTCGTTCAGATGAGCATTGTGTCCCTTATGGTGTTTGTGAATCAAATGTTTGTTTGGTTGGATTGCTTAGGGCTAATAATGCAGGTTTAAAAATTACTTTTTTATTAATTAAATTTAGTAGAGGTTTAAAGGGGTTTAATTTTTAAATTTTATTTAAGTACTCATCTATCCCAAAAGAAGGGCGGAATCGTTTTTTTCATTACCTGCAAGGAAAGAAAAATGGAGACGGATGGACACGGACAGACAAAACACGGACGAATTGCTTTGGAAATTGATGTCCATGTTTTGTCTGTCCGTGTCCATCCGTCTCCATTTTTCCTTTCCTTGCAGGTAATGAAAAAAACGATTCCGTCCTTCTTTTGGGATAGGGTCACTCATTCCTAGTCTACTCCAAAAGCTTGGACCTATTTTACAAAAAAAATTCTAATAAAATTTTTTTTCAGTAATCAGAACGTGTGGCAGTCAATCATTAGGTTGTCAAAGAAATGTGGATAGATGGAGCCATTTATGTTCTTGTGACGAAAATTTTTGCAATACTTTTTTATTTCTCAAGTTATTTTAAAAATTTTACAAAAATTTTTTTTATTTTTTTAAAGAGCAAATACAAATATTGACGGGCCTAGAAATCGTCTTTCATTAGAAAACCCTTCAAATAAACAGTCTGACTCGTCAGATCAAAGAATATTTGAAAGAGTAGATCAACCATCTAGTGGAGAATTTGCAACGTTTGACCATCAATTAGGTTTTTTTTGACATTTTTTCTTGACTCATTATAAGGTACACCCAATACCTCTGTTTAAGAGACTTTTCTTTAAAAAAGTTGGTTGGTTAAGGGGAGAGCTGTCTAGAGGATTTTTTTCTTAACTCCATGTAAGATACCCCCATTAAAATTCGTCTTTTAAAATTTGGCTGGTCTCTTGGTTAAGGGAAGCTGCTCAAGCAGTATCTCCTATTCAAGATATCCCCATTATAGGGTACGATTTAAGGGTTCGAATTTATTTTTAATTTTATCTAGATAATGAGCCAATGCCAATCAAAAATTCAAATTTGCTCACTCTTCTGTTAGTCATTGTCCCCCTCTCTGTTGGAGCTGCAGCGGTTGTTGTTGTTGCTATTAATTATTATTGTCATCTTTGTTAATTTTTTATATCTTTTTTTTATATCTTTTATTGTTAGTATAAGGTTTTTATTTTTATTAACACTAGAAATCCCGTGATCCCTCTTAAAATTGAAAAGATGAAAAGTTTTGGGAATAAATAAAATTTTTTCCTAAAAATTAAAACAGTCGGGCCTCACTTATGCAACGCTCGTGCAGGAGAAATAGACGTTAAAGTGATTGTCACCTTTAATAAATTTTCAACCTTCCGCTCAGAAAAAACTGACGTTGATTTGGGACTGTCTTATAAGCGAGGTCCGACTGTGATTAATTCACTTAACATTATATTATTTTTAAAAATAAATTAGAAATTTTAATGACTTTATAATATAATAAAATATTTTTGTGCCTTCCCCTCCATTTTTATATTTTTTTTTCATTTGTAAAATTTTTTGATATTTTTTTACCTTTTTTAAAATAAATTTGCAGTAAATTTAATATTTTTACTAATTTTAAAGAAATATCAAACAGAATGGATCAACTAGAAAATTTTTCTAGAATAACAAAAAATACCCAAAAACAATTCCCAAAAAACATTTATTTATAAAGAGCCAAATTTCCAATAAATTGTTTCAGCTTCTGTCTTTGTTGAGGTTTAATAGCTATACAAACAGCCATTCCATCTTCATTCCAAATTTTGTGTTGAATACCGGCATCTTCCAATTTCTTTGCTTGTTCTAATAATTCTGGTTCATCTTTCACCTTTTTTTTTGAGGGAATTAAGAAGCAAAAAATTAAAAAAACCTTTAAAGTCACTTTATGCATATTTTCCATATTTCCCATATATTCTTTAACCTCTGGATCGTCCTTAAATGTCCATATACAAGCTGTGGCTGCATGAGCTATTTGGGTGAAGACAGCTCCTAACGGCCATTTTAAATCAGAAATGAGATCTGCCCTAAGAATTAAATACATAATTAAACGTTCGCCTTGTGTTGACATTCTAAAAAATTTTAAAAAAATTTTAAGAAATTTTGAAAAATTAATAAAAAATATTAAAGTTGGTTGTAGAAATTTAAAAAATTTAAAAAAAAGTTAGGGTTGGGGGCTCGATCCGAAAGATCGAATCGGCCATTGAATTTTGGCCCGAAAAAAAACTCGGTCGGACCGGCCCGATAAAAATGAGGTCAGAAAAGATGACTCGAACGTCGGCTCGGCTCGAAAACTCCCAACCCTAAAAAACGTTTTACATTTTTTATTAAAAAATTTTTTTTGTGAATAATTGTGATTGTTTGTGCCAATTGTTGATGTTTTGGTCACTAGGACTGGGACACGCCCAAAACTGCGCGAGCCAAAACTGCGCGACCGAAACTGCGCGACCGAAACTACGCAGGCCAAAACTGCGCAAGCCCAAAACTGCGCAGGCCAAAACTGCGCAAAACTAACTAGAGGATGGAGTCTCTTCCGTTGCTTTCCGTCTTTTTTTTTGCTGTTCCGCCTTCCGTTTTTAAAATTCGGTGTTCATCAAACTTTATTAAATGTAAAACATTCTAACAAAAAATTCAATAACCAGGATAATAAACCAGGAAAAAAACATAGTTTTATAACCTAAGTTTAAATTAAACTAGTTAGTCTTCAATAAGATGTGTCCAAGCTTAATAAAGAGACTAGTTAGTTTCCTTTAACTAGTTAGTCTAAAAACCTTCAGAAAAACCTTCGGAACTTTCTCGACCAAAAACAAGTATTCTTTGCTCATCTTCTTTCCAGGTTTATATTCATAACGTTGGTAGTTCTGAGGAATTACCAAAACAGCGCGACTTTCATTATTTTGTGGTGCATCTTGTGCCGGAGTCGAATCCGTTTAACTACTCTGAATCCGTTTAACTACTCTTTTCCTTTATTTATTTTTACTAAATAGTTTTGCGCAGTTTTGGCCTGCGTAGTTTTGGGCTTGCGCAGTTTTGGCCTGCGCAGTTTCGGTCGCGTAGTTTCGGTCGCGCAGTTTTGGCCTGCGCAGTTTTGGGCTGTACCCACTAGGACTACGTCTTGAAAAATAAAAAAGCCTAAAAATTTCAAACGGTCTTATTTGTTAGGTTCTAGTGAATCGACGACTCTGTTTACAAAAATAAATTTTTCTTAGAAATTCTCTAATTTGAAGTTATGGGCATTCGTGATCATTTATTAACACAACCAAAATTGCTTAATTATTTGAATAGTTTGGAAGAACAAAAGAAAGATGAATTTGCTGAATATTTGCTTAAGGTTTTTTTAAATTTTTTTAGATTTTAATTTTATTTTTAGTTTGATTTTGATTATTTGGCAGAGGCTTTCAAATCCTCACAAAATTCAACACTTCCAGCACTTGAAGATATTTCTCCTATTGGGCCAGAAAACTTTGTTGATAGAAGTGAATTAACTGATGTTGAATTGGATAGACTTTTTAATTTGGGTAAAATTTTGTTTTTTAGAATTATGTTAGTCTTCATTAGAGATTGAGGTTTGGAAAGCCTGGACTTGTTCCTGGACTCTGAGGTTTGACTTATTGTCTGGGCCGGATCCTGGATCTGTAGTCAAGGAAAAACACAGGAAGGTCAAAAAATACCTGGGCCTGGACTCTGGATACAGGTAAAACCCCGGCCTTGTCCAGGCCATGCTCGATCTCTAGTCTCCTTGTTTTCGTTATTTTGGGGTAAATTACGAAAACGGGAGGATAGGGGCATTTTTACATAAAAGCCAAATTAAAAAATTTTTTAAAGGCTTAAAGGCCGTTTCCGAGGGCAAAGTCGCTGCGCTTGTTCTAGCCGGTGGGCAGGCTAGCAGACTTGGCTCTGACCACCCTAAAGGAGTTCTGCCTCTTGGCACTGGTCTTCAAAGCAAAACTGATTCTCTTCTATTCATCCAAGCAGCTCAAATCTGTTACCTTCAAGACATGGCTAAAGAGAAATTCCCTGACTCTAATAAATCAACAATTACTTGGTTGATAATGACTAGTAGATCGACTGATGCAGATACTCGTGCTCATTTAAAAGAAGTTATGGAAGAGACTGGACTTTGTTCGGATCAAGTAAATTTTAAAGAAATATAAAATGTTGAGCTAAGAGATTGAGATTTTTAGACTATGGGCTTTGATTAATAGTCAATCTATTGTTAGTGCTGATCTTGTGCCTTGAATCCAGGAAGAATTTAGAAAGTTCTAAAAATACCTGGACCTATACCTAAGGTCCTGGAAGACATAGGCCTTGATCCATATTTATAATTAGCTTATTTTTAATTTAAGGATTTTTAAAAATTTATTTTAAGATTGTCACGGAGGTTTTACCTCTATTAGATTTCTACAAAAATTATTTTTAAATTCCTTTTAAATAAGTTGAAAAAAAATAATTTTTAAGGTAATCATATTTACCCAAGATGAACTTCCTGCCTTTTCTTTGGATGGAGAAGCACTTCTAGCTGAACCTTATCGTCTTGTTACCTCTCCAGGTTTTCTTTTAAATTTTTTTCCTTTCCAAAAAATTCAATTTAAGATGGTCATGGAGGCCTTTATAATGCGATTTCTCCACTACTTCCTTTATTAGAACAGAAAGGATTGGAATTTATTCAAGTTTACAATGTGGATAATATACTGTGTAAAGTTCCTGATTTGTGTATGGTTGGATCTGCAATTGAACAAAAAGCGGATTGTGTGGCAAAGGTGTTTTTAATTTTTAAAAAAGATTTTGTTTAATCAGAAATTTTTTTAAATTTTGGTTTTTGATTTCCATGTCTCCAATTACTAATGGCCAAGTGGGTGCCAGGGTCTTGTATTCAAAAATCATTTAGGGAAGGGATTCTTGTTCAAAATTAAAAATTATAAGGTATTAATAACGGAAAATTCTGACCTGTTGGCCATCGAAAAATAAATACCAAAAGTCGTTCTTGATTTTCCCTATAAAACAAATTTCATTATTATCCGCCTCCCTTGTAAGCCTTGGGCAAGGCAGTTAACCTTTTTTTTAAAAACTTTTTTATTCTTTAGGTAATCGAAAAAATCAATCCATCAGAAGCTGTAGGACACGTTTGTCTTGAGAAGGGGAAAGTCCGAGTGCTTGAATATTCTGAAATTTCTTTCGAATTGGCTGAAGCTAGAGATTCTGATGGAAAATTACTTTTGTGTGCTGGAAGTATTTCGATTCATTTATTGTCTTTAAATTTCCTTCGAATTGCCTGTCTTCCTGAAAATATTAAATTAATGCCTTTACATGCTGCACGTAAACAAATTAATTATTTGGAGATTGGGAAGGAAAGTGGCGATTATTTGAAGAAAAAGGAGGCAACTGCTATCAAATTGGAGCGTTTTGTGTTTGACGCTTTTCATCACTCAAAGTATTTTTTAGAAATTTATTAATGACAAGAAAGTAAATTTTAGTAAATAAGTGAGTGAGGGGAGGGATTTTAGGTGATAAAGGGAAATTTTTTTAAATTATGCAGACTGATCATTTCGTACTTCAACTAAAACGCAGACTGGGGAGAGGGAATAAGTACCGAAATTTTATAACCGGTATCCTTCTCATCATTCGAGCGCCTTTATTTTTGAATTAATTTCCTTTGCCTTTGAATTTTGTTCTAATTACAATAAATCAGTGTTTTTCGGTCCTGGAAACTGATTCCCTAAACCAGAACCTTAAAGCCACCAGAAATTCTGGGACTATCAGGATATGGAGCATTCGATTTTTTCGGAATTGAAAAAACATTGAAATACTTGAGTCTAAAATTAAATTTTTAACATTAAAAATTCAACTGAAAATTCTAACAAAAATTTTTTTAGAAAGTTTTTGGTTTGGCAAGTATTAGCCTCTGAAGAATTCAGTCCATTAAAGAACGCTGATTCTGCTGGAAAGGATTGCCTAAAAACGTGTTTAGCTGATTTTAACGGGATTAATGGAAAATGGATAAAAGAGGTTTGTTTAAACATTTTGGAGAAGAAAAAGATTTAATTAATTTAATTGAAGAAATAATTATTAAAACCTCCCGGTGAACTACTTTTTTTTCTTTTTTACTCATAATTTTTGCAAAATTTTTTTTTATTTTTGCTCAGTCAATTTTTTTATTTTCTCACTTAAAATCCTTTATTTTTGAATTTATTTACACAAATAATTAGCGCCTAATGAAGTATTATTTTCTTTAACACCTTTTTTTACCTTTTTTATGCCGTCCTTTTCCTGACTTGTTTGCCTTTTTATTTGTTACAAAAATTAGTCATTTCTCGAGATTCTATTTTTCTGTTATTTATTTTCTTCTAAATTTCTATTTTTCTTTTAAAATTTTCTTTTAATTATATTTTTCTTTGGATAATTAGAGAAAGAACAAGGACTTTGAGCTATCTGTGATCTAAAAAAATTCCGCAACCTGCAAATTTTATTTTTAAAATTCACATTCGGTTGGTGCCAAAAAGCTCGTAATTTTACAATTACTGATAGGCCCTACTTTAAATTTTCTTTTACAATTTGTTGAAAAATATCAGGTTGGGAATGACGTATTTCGAGCAGATTCCTTTATTGAAACCCTTTTAAAGTTAGAAATTCCTTTCTCTAATTTTTTTTCTTAAAAATTTTCTTGCCTCTACAAAAAAATTAATTAATGTTATAATTAATTTATTGTTAATTTTAAATAAAAAATATATTTTTTAAAAATTTTATTTTTTACTTTTACCCCAACTACTAAAAAGACCGTAATCCTTTAAATTAACGAGAAATATAAAATTGAAAATGAGGGGAGAATGGCAGAATGTCAATGCTTTTTTCCCTTTATTTATTTCCACTAAATCCCTTCCATTTATCCTTCTAATTTTCATATTTTTGCCTTGTTCACATTCACAAATTCCCTCCGTTATTGACCAATTTATGTTATTACGTAAAATGCGCATCTTTTCAGAAAAAAAGAATTTTTAACAGAAAAGCGGTAATCTTTCCCTTAAAAATATTTTAGAGGCACACATACATTCATTCATTTTCCCATTCATTTTC